AGAGAGCCAACATATGATGGACAGATGATGACATGGATGAACATGTCAACAGGTCGCAACTATCTCACATGTTCAGGCTGTCGGGATTAATTATCACCATGTTCAGCTGTTGATCTTCAGGTGCAAATATCAACAGCTGAACATCAACAGCTAACGGCAGAGCGGAGGAGGGGCGATGAGATTAGCCCGGCGTGGGTGACCAACAGATGTAGAGATCAACCGCGAATTTCTATGTGTGTTTTTCTCCCAACTCTGACTTAGTGGCGAACGCCAGAATTGGCCAATAGAAGCATCGGATGCCCCCTCTACAGACAATTTCTTGTTATTATCAATTGTTGTCTTGGTGCCCCTGCATGGACGATCGGGGCGGGCCTTCGCTGAGTTCAACGGCCCCGTTCGGAAGATTTGCAGGATGTTACATGGAGACAATGACATAGGTGGACACCCCAAGTAGTTTACCATTATAACCCCATACATGGAATCTAAGTATAAGCAATTGTATTCCAGAATGGTCTGGGATCTATGAGCCTGAAAAACATCCACGCTCTGGGGTCATGCCTAGCCACATGTATCACACCATATCAGGACCCGCGGTCAGGGTGGTTCATGGCTGTCCCCTTTTACATCTTTCGGGGCTATGAGCAGAATTTCGGAATTAATCTGAAAAAGTGTGCGTTCACTTGTGGTTGAAAAACAATGCAAAGGAGGGTTGCCAATCACTTAGGGGTTCCCACCGATTGGAGCCACTCGCATCAAAGCATGTGATGGTTGCTTTTCTTTAAGTCTCAATCAGCAAGAACTGGAGACACTCGCCAAGACGCAATGAGTGGCGAAAACCAAACCCATCGAAGAGCATTTCCGGGCAACATCATTTTGCTCAATGTGTCCACTCATATCCTCAATTTTCCGGGGTGAATGTCCGAAAAGAAAGGTCGGTGTTCCTTCCGGACAGCGAGCTCACATCTACCGCTCTCCGCTGGTCTTCTCGCCGCCAGGAGTCCTACAACCGAACGCCGGGCGAAAAGCAACGGCGGAAGCAGGCGGCTCCGAACCTGCGCGAGTCTTGCGGTGGTGCGCGCGCGTTGTGTCTCGCGAGACAACGGGGACGCTGGGCGGCCAAGCATCTGGCAAGAAGCATTTTAGATATTTTAGGGCCTACTGAGCAGCCTGTATAAAACAGCTGGTTCCTGAAAAGGTAATCAGGTGACACCAGCACCTTTCAGTCGTTCGTGACAGTGATTTGCAGTGGCTTTCTGCACCCTGCTCACTTGGAGGCCTTCTTTTGTTGGCTGATGTTGGATGGAATAGGGATGGGGTATCCCAGATAAGACATCTAACATGTTCTAAAACGCAGGGAATTCATTGATAGTTCCCACCACACCCGCATTGATCAAAGCCTATTATATTAGCTGAGGCGCAAGACAGCCAACACACAGTTGCCATGTAGTCATGCCACTCGAAGGAACAGGCCCGGTACCGGAGTTCTAGGTAAATATCTGCTCTGACTCATTTAAGGAGCATTTAAGGCGGAGTTTGTTTTTTGCGAGGTGGTCGTCCACTTCCATGAATGCCTTGGTGTGTTTGTCCGGTGACGACCAATCACAGGGTGCTGAAAGGTTGACCGATCTGTTTGAATGTTGATTTGCTTGATTGCTCACACAATGGGTGGGATAAAGCCTGCCCAGGGTGGACAAGCTGGGGGGGAGAAGGTTGGAGGGCCTGTCTTATGTGTTGTCCTGTTTCTTTGTGGGCCTCATAGTGGCATTGGGACCTGTCATGAACCACTATTGGACCATCATGGGATCTCCAAGTTTTCTGAACGGACCTTACTCGCGAGGAGGAAGAGCAAAAGAGAAGGCAAGAGCAGGAGGAGGCTGGATGGGGACAAAGGGTTTTTGCTTTCAATCTCTGGGTTGACATCACTTGGCCAGCCTGCAGAATAGATGGCAGCACAGCTTTTCAACTTGCAAATTCAGTGGACACATCCTTAAGTCACATCTATAACTGGATGGTGGAAGTTGCACAACCAGAACACCAAACACCACGACGGTCGTGCCACAAAATGAAAAAAGCAGCGACTCCGCCACACGGCCAACGACACGATCTCCGACTCACGAGTTCCATTGGGAACCGTCGTTCGGACCCGGTCTTTTGGGACTATTCAAAGGCTCGAAACGTGATGTGGTCGTGGTTTGGGAGCGTGACGAACGGGGCTGCACGTTCTCGGCGGTTTTTTGCGGAGAACTATATGCGTCCCAAAAACACCGTTTTTGTGACATCATTGGTTGTTTAGACTTAGACCTTTCTTCTTTGAATTGGACCTTCTTTCGTTTCGCCTTTCTTTAGACCTTTCTGTGGTTTTGTATCTCTTGTAGACCCAGCCAACGGAGGGCCCAACGGAGTCCTCGCTCCGGGTCCACCGATGAGCGACCGGAGGCGGAACGGCAAAAAAGCCGCCTGGCTGGATGGCCCGACAACACGCCTACACGACCTCCACGCTTCGAACAGAACGTGTGTTGGTTGGTTTTTATTGTTTTTTTTTTTTTTCGGTGTTAGCTCACACAGAAGTCTGATAGGGCTTCCTTTCACCTAGCCCTACCCCCTAGGCAGGGAGTCAGCTGAAGATGAGATCAGGTTTGGTTGTCCGCCCTAAAACCAACGAGCAGAACGTCCGATGTTGTGAGCTTTCAGACATTCGCTTGTCGGGCCTGTTGCTTGTTGGGTGTTAGGATGTGACACGCCTGGGAGGATGCGTAAAATACTACACATGCATAATACATGCGAAATACATGCATACTTTTGCAGCTTTCTATGTCAAGATCCAAGTGGAAGACACTTCTCATGCACTTGAATTTGCGGACGAAGGCAACCAAGAGCACTGGTTCAATCGAGTGACACTGGACAGTGGAGAACCCATGGGAGTCGTGGTTCCATGTGCTGGCGGCATTGAAGGTCGTAGCCAGAAGGGGATATTTTGGCGCAATGGTTTTCAGAGAACTTGCCTTAGATATCCAGACGTTGTGAGATCATTCGAAAGCCAAGAGGCGCATGGACCCGAAGCAACGAATCTAGATGTTGGTTCGGTCCAAGACCCTAGTTGTGAGGGTCAAAACCCGAGCTGTGAGAGTCCAATGAGCCTAGCTGTGAGGGTCCAATTTCATCCATTGCCAAGAATCAACCATTTTGGACGAAGACCGCAAGAACTAAGGACATATCCGGCGCACGCACATTCTTTCACCCACAGAAACAAAGCTGGACCATCCTGTTTGGGATATTGTAGGCTAGTCCAGCCAACACATCTCAAAAGGATGGTCCTCAGGTGTTCCGGGTCCCTTCGCTTCGTTGTGTCGCGAAGAGACTGGTGGTAGTTGGTCGCAGAAAACCAGCAGCGACCTGCGGCTTCACACGAGGCGAGTTGGCTGCGATAGGCTTCCGCAAGAAGAAGAAGCAGGTGCTGAGAGTTGAGTGGCCAGTCGCTGGGAGTTGCTGGGAGTTGGTGACGATACTCTTAGAGGCAAAGACATGGACAACGCTTGGGCGTCGGGTGAGTTGGTTTCATGGAATGAGACAGACCCCCAAGGACAGAAGTCTTCCTAAAAAGGTGAGATGATGCATCTCACCCAAATAATGCCAGGCAGTGCAGGCTGTTTGTGGCCGCTGCCTCGATGTCTTGATGTTTTTTTCCCTTCCGCTTCAGTGAACGCAAAGCCCCCAAATAATGCGCATGTCGGTCATGTCGGACGTCCGACCAGGAGGTCCGATGGCTTGTTGGATGGTTTGGATGAAAGCTCGCGACATGGTTTCTTTCCCTTCACGACTTGGGAGAATACACGGAAAAGTCAGAACTGGAATTGAATGTGTGGAGTTGACCCCGGGTCTTCGGACCATCAAAAAAATCGTACCTCGTCCACGTGCCCAGGTGACGCAACGTGTGGCCTCACCACCGAAGCGCGCGGAGACCATGAGAGTCTAACCGAGTCACACACCCCTACGGCGCATGCAGCACTTGGTGGTGTGTGCCACTGCCGCGCGTGGTGCAGATATGCCATGTGCCACAGAGATGGCGGTGAAAACGGGGTGGGTGAGTTCGATTTGAATCTTCACTCCTTGACATATTTTTGGTAACGTGGATGGTATCGCACAGTGTAGAGCTTGCAGGAAATGTGTTCAATGCAACATCAGAAAAGAATGTATGATACACATTGATACACCCTCTTGCACTCTTGCTCTATTCTAACCAAACAATCTCAGAGGCATATTATGCGACCTTATTGTCTACATCGCTGGAACTCACAACAAACCAAAACAGCTCAGCTCCAAACGTCTGCCACTTCCGACGGGATCTCGCCAAAGGCGAGCCTCTCCTCGGTCGGTCAACGGCCGGAACGCGGTCTGGGCGGTTCCGGGGCACTGCCTTGCGAGAAAAGATGGTGAGTGGTGACAGCGGTGCCCCGTGATCATTAAGTGTCCTAAGGATGCCCCCCAAAGTCTACGTAAGTCTATAAGCTAAGAGCAGAAGTCATTTGAAGAGAAAGAAGAAGAAGAGGAAGAGAAGACAACAATATACAATAATATACTGTATCAAGTATTGTACAGTATCACTATCAGGGATAATATACGTAGTATACGTATATAATCACCGGCACTACCATCCCCATGGTGTTCTTCACGTTGTCTTAGCGTGTTCACACGCTCACAGGTGTCATACCCATTTCACCGGTGTGCGTCCTCACGGAAGCCGTGCCTGGTCTATCACGCGCTCTTTAGATTCGATTGGATCGAAGGATGGTTTTCTTTGCCTCCGCCTCACTCCTTACTCCTCCTCCCAGTCCTTATTGGTCGTGGTGTTACTGGGTCAGTCGGGTCCAGGTCTATTCAAGTCTTAATCCGGCCAAAACCGAGTGATACCGATTGAACCGATCAATCCATACCGATGCCATCGGCTCCAAGCGCCGGTGTGCCCGGGGGAACGCTTCCCCCGGCGACCGGGTCAACGTAGCATGCTGCCGCCCGGGCACCTGTGGGCACCGCACTCGCCCCGCCCGTCGGACGCCTGGGAGGTCGGCTCCCAGTGCCATGTAGCATGAACGGTGAACATGTGACCATCGCAGTGGTCAAAGTCGATCTGGCGTTTTTGAGTTTGGTTTCCTGTTCCTCTTGGTGTCCCCTTTGTGCTCTCTCTCTTGGTGATCATAGAGACCTTGTGGAATGTGTTTGCCCTGGCTCGAGGGGCCCTGGCTCGAGCGAACGATCGCTCGAGGTTCTTGTAGGTGCTCGGCCAACGGAGCTCGGGACCCGCCAAGCAACTAGCTAGCCAACCAAAGCACCTTAGCAAGTAAACAGGGAACAAGAAGCTACGATCGGGGCTCCTGGCCTTACTACTAGGAGCAAGGACGCTACGAACGGCTCCTGGCCCATTGCTTGCCTGCAGTGCCACCATTCAGCCCGAACTGAGGCCTCATCCCTATGGCAGTGCAGCCGTCAAGGTGCTCCCAAGTCTCGCGAGACATGGTGTGCTAGTGTGCTGGGGCGAAACCAGGAAAAGCAGGAAGATTTGCAGAAAACAACATGGTATGAATGTTTTGGCAGCTGTGACTACAGGCATGTGCCTCTAAAAGTATAAGTTTTGCTGCAACTTGCTGCCTTGCTATTGTTGTTGCAGAGTTTGAGCATGTCCGGTTGTGGAAGGATAGAGTCACCTTTGCTGCACACACATTCGAGTACCCTTCGATACCAGCTGCCAAGTTTCGTAAAACAACAGACGGTAGGACGGTACAACACAAACCTAGAGATCCGCATTGACTTGGAGTGGCGAACGAAGAGTCGACTGAACAGAGGAGTCGACTGAAAGATGTTTGTTGTTGGAACTTGTGGTACTACCTTGCATTTGTCAAGCTTTAAACAAAATGAAAAGATACCAACGAACAAATGATAGGACAAGCTTTATAGAGTATCCTGCAATTGTATATGCCATCCAAGGGGAATTTCTAGATCACACCGGATGAGAGATTCATCCATTTGAGCATCCTTGTGATAGCCAAGCTTTAAGCTTGTCATTTGCAGGATGCCCTAGCCGTGCAGTTTGGAGACCCCTAGAGCTTGTTTGCCATGACTAACCACATGAGTTTCTTCCTTTCTTCTGTGATTGACATGGTTTGACATGTCGCCCTAAAGAGATCGGCTCCTCATCCCTTTGAACTATGCAGAACTATGCAGAGACGTTCCATTGAGGAGACAATTGCTGGCAGCCGCACACAATTGCTTTTGCCGATCTCATAGTTTTGCATCTCTTTCTTACAGAACCACCCGCTGGGTCGTCTCCGCGCGAAGAGACTGGAGGCTTCCCAGTTGGAGGGTGCCTTCACACAGTCCAGAGCTCGGTAGAAGGGCACAGTGGTATAAGAATATATTTCCCTGGGGGTCCCGTCGACCATCTTCATCTTCTAAGACTTTGTTTAGGTGATCCGAAAAGGACATTCCTTTACTTTGGTGGTGACAAAAATAGTCTTTGATGTATTGCCACTGCTTGTACTTGCTCTTTGCTCTCACCACTACTTGAAGGCCGATGTCAAAGTGCGCACATGAGATCTCGCGTCGTACACCTGCGACAGGCGTGGTGTTTCTCGTATCTCGTACACCGGACGTGCGACGCATGAATTTCATTCTATCCACCGGAGATGACCAGGAGATTGAACACAACTACTTGAACAAGATCGTTTCGTTTTTTGCTGTATATGTCTACCAAGTTGTTGGGATATTGTTGAATACTTTCTTGCTGGTGAAGTCCAACGGCCCATTGCATCTAATGCCGGATTGCTTTGCACTATGTACACATGCACAAACAAATTTGGCTGCAAAGAACTCAGAAGGCTAATCCCCCCATTGGTAAGGATTTGCGTGATATGGGTGTGGGTCAATACTTCACCCTACAAACAATGGAAGGTTGACGTGCCGTACATGTAGAGGAGTTTGTTCTCAACACGAATCGCCCCTCCCAGAAATTGATGGTTCCAACATACAGCTACACTCGTGGACTCACAGGAATCCCTACTGTAGACTACATGGATCTTCATTGAACCTCTATTTTTTTAACGCTGGCCCCAAGGCGGCGAAGTCTGAACCTTGTGGTGGTCTTCAGCAACCTGGCCTTGCCCGGGTGCTATGTTCCTTCGTGTTGCGAGCGTTCGGGCATCACATACATCGATCTTGCCAAAAAGAAGAACACGAAGCTGGCAGTGAACCTCAAGGGTTTGGGTTTGACATTCCTTTGGGTCAAACCCTCGCAAATGATCCTCCGAATCCTCCTCACGCTCACAGGCCCTTGCCAGGACCGCCAGGTTGCAGACCCCAGGTGCCAGCGGGGTCTGACCTACTTCTGACCAACTCAACTCGTCTCGTCACCAAGGCCCTGGGCAGCCTTTGGTCTGGTCTTCTGGGCACCTTGGTCGAAACGGAAGACGAAGATGATTTCGTCGACCCCGCAGGTCATTCCACCACTCGTCTGGTGGTGTTGTTGAACACATCAGCTTTTCCTAATCAACAATGTAGTGAAACACAGAAGGCATTTGTTGCTGTTGTTTGTTCATGATTTGCTAGTTTGGGTCAGCTCCTGCAGGAGAAAACCACACCAGCTTCAACCAACAAGTGTGCCCACCGTAGGTTTGTGTGTCCTACAGCTGGAACAACGGCAGGGGCACAGGGGGGACGCACCGGTAAGTACTTGGTGGTTTTTTCGGGGTGAGCTGTGGGAATTAATGAGAGTTGGTCAAATCTTCCCGGACCCTCCAGTCGGGGTGCCCTGTCTGGAAGCCTAGTGTGGGGTAGTCCAGCCAGGACACCCCGACAGGAGGGTCAAATCTTTCTAGACGTTTGGTAGCGCAGCCCTCTAATCTTGCCTCTGCGCCAGCACAGGAGATGTTGAAGAACAGACCTTCTATTCCCATGCTATATTGACTGTGCTATGTTTGTGGGCCCAAGAGATGCTGCTTGTTGCTTTGTGCTACCTTGTGCTTGTTGCAAAAGAATGGCCCGACAGCCAATGACACGGGCCGTTCGTCCTCGGACGACGGCGGTTCGACTCCGGTGCTACGGAGGAGTTTCGTCCGATCTCTACAGCGGTCCTTCCGATCTGATCCAGCCGCCGGTCGGTGTGTTCTGCCCATGCCAGACGGTTCGGTCCACAACGACGCGGCGGACGTCCCGAGGCCTTGGCCTTCTGGCCCCACTTCGAACATCCCATCTGCGCCGGGGTCGCCCACGGACGACAGAAGGTGGCGCCGAGAAGCCGGCGAAGCGGCGAACCGGCCGGGTGAAGGGTGCTTTACACCAAACAGGGTGACCGAAAGGTGACCGAAAGAGGGGGAATGACAGAAAAAGGAACCAGGAGAGATGACCTAGGTCAACGCCAAGACCTAGGAGCTTCACACTTGGAAAAGCAGAAGAAAGCACAAACTGAATTTTTACAACATGTGAATCATAATTAGCTGATGACATCAACCACAGTTGATAGGGTTCAAAAGGTGTTTGATAGAAGATACATGACATGAAGACACCTCTATCACAGCTGAATCTCAGCTGCAACTGTCCATCTCCCCAAGCGCAAGCTGTCGGACCACTGCGATGGCGTTGAAATGAGGCTCAGACAGATCGCCCTGGAGGGCGTTTCTCCCCGCTTCTCCCTGTTTCAGCTGAACATCTTGAAAAGACACAAAAGCACACTCACACTAGTTGTGGTTTAGTGGAAAGAATGATATTCCATAGTGACCCCCTGGTACACGCAATTCCATGACCATGTTAGAACTTCTTTTTGAATTTGTGCAACATGATTGCACATTTTGATCTGTATTCGTTTCCTCGCAAGGCGGGGACGGTGATTGGTGTTGTTTTCGACCGAAATAGACATGGAAGGAGGAGGTGACGGAGACTGTTTTCACCTCGGTGACTTCGTCGCTTTCTTTCGCTTTGTGCACTCTCGGTGGGGCCTGAGGCCTGGTCCCTTCTCTTGTTCCACTTGGCCATCGCGTTGGTCTCAGTGCTGGCTGTTGGGCTTCCCAGAGGCGATCGTGCTTCGTGTCTGTTCGTTGCGCATGCTGGCGCCTACCGCGCCTGCGCATGCGCATGTTCCGTGGCGCTTTCTTCGGATGCGATGGCCCCGGATGCTGGGAAGGTGGATGAACGGGGGCGCTGCACATGGGCAAGTCGTTTTGCACGGGCTGCAGGCTGCAGGATTGATTTAGGTGTAGTTTTGTGATGTTTTGTGCTGTTTGATTGCATTTTAGGGTCTTTACACGGGTCTGAGTTAGGTTATGTTTCCTTAACTGTGGTGTTCCAAGTAGTCTTTCATGTGACTATAGACATCTCATGATAACATTACGAATGATGACTCAGCACCCGGACATACCCGGACTCACTTTTCAACCAACCAGCGGTGTTGGAAGCTTCGTGGATCTCTTTTGTAAGCAGACAAGGAGCAGTTGATTGGTAATTTATTAGACCCGGTTAGTATAATCTAATTGAAGGTGTCGTGGAGCTGATTTCATAATATGTCTTATATATTCTTATATAATAGTATATTGTATATGTCTACATATATGTGTTTACATGATGCATCAATGGAATCAAGGGGCCGCCAGGGGCTCTTCATTTTTTTTGAAGGTCAGGTGCTGCGCTTTTTCTGCGCTTGACCGCACTGTGTGAAAGTGAAAGCTAGAAGGTCGCCTGAGGGGATGGAGGCCCCTAGTCCAAAACAACACGGCCAACCTGAAGTGAACAAACTGATCCAGACTCAGTCAGACCTAGACCCTGGCCCTGAATGTCGGATCCAGCGCTTGATGCAAGGCAGAACGCACCTTTAGTGGGCGTTTTTTTCCTGGTAGGCTTAGTTCGAGGTGGTTAGGTGGCTTGTTCCAGGTTGTGATATTTTGGATTTGAGGATGTAGTTTGATGAGTTTTCACCTCACCACACACATCCACCTGCCTAACTAAATGGTTAATGGGGGGGGGTACGTGTTGGCTAGTCCTTTTTTTTTAGCCATCCACCATACGGAATGCCTCAGCTTTTTGGCCGAGAATGGCATACCTTGCACTGAGGCTTTTCGCTGGAGCTCAGAGCATGGGCACCCGGTGTTCTGCCCCGGAAGCTCGCTCGCTTCCGAATTCGCTTCGGGCATCACTCCTGATGCCATGTGCTTCACCCAGAAATCACCGGTTTTGGCACCGAATCTTAACCCACATACATGGGATGGGGAGGATTGGTGTAACATGACACGGCCCCAGAGATGTCCGGAGACTTGGATTCTTCACCTATTGTTTGGCAGCTTTGCATCTCCATCTCATCGACATATCCATCTCCCGCCTTTCCTGGGTCTCGACGGGTCCCGAAATTGATTTCTTTGTGGCGACGGGTCTGAGCTGGTCTGAGTAGGTGGAATGCGTCGTTTTCTGAGTCAGTCCCAAGTCGCCTGGAATGCGTCCCTTCCCCCACAGAAACATCCAAGTCAGTGGCCTTAGGAAAAAGACGCCGGCGCATTCCGGACGTTGTGGCCTTTCCTGAACAAAGATCTGAACGAACTCTCATTCAGTGTGTGCGAACGTCAGCGAAACAGTTGCAACCGTGTGAAACTCTGCAACCGGGTGGCTGGACGTCCATGTGAGACGTCAGACGAGTCTCCAGTGGTACCGGCTACGATTGTTGCAAGCAATAAGTCTCAAGCATTGAGTCTCCATGTCGACATGGCCACCAGGTGAGTATTTTGTGTTTGGGAGGGAGTTTCAACAAGAAACTCCTGTGAGTGAATCACGTGTTGTTTTTCTCTTACATAGAGGGTGTTCCAGGGTTAATTCCTGGAACCAATTGTGCAGTTCTTTGCCAAATGCAGATTTCTGAGCAGTAAGTACTTCCAGGAGATTGCTTCATGGAGCCCCCCAAATGCCGAAAGATGATGGATCCAGTGGTTAGAACTACTTGCGTATGTCACAATTCATTACAGATGTCCAACCCACTTGTAAGTCTCTCACCCACCATGTAAAAATACAGAACTATTCATCCCGCAAACCAAAAGCGTTACAGTTACAGAACCATGGCCACCGCGCAGCAGTTTCATTGGCAGCAGCAGAAAAACTCCCCACCTGAGGCGTGCAGCTTATTGGCCACTGGAGCTGCAGTTGGGCATCGCTCATCGGAGCGAAATATCCACGATTTCGGGGTACTCTCCCTCGAACTAACTGTTTGTAGTGGATGGCACCACCTGTTTGGTTCGTGGATTTCATGGTCTTCCGAACTCTGGGTCATTCTCCACTTCCATGTTAGTTCCAGGGAGTGTACATGTTTCTATTTGTTGAGGTTCTCCAAACCTAAGAGCGATGGCCTCCACCCTAGTAGCGATGGCCTCCAAGCTAAGAGCGATGGCCTCCAATGTACTTTAGGCATCTGATGGAGAGGCTTTGAGGCTTTCACCTTTGTATGAGATACATGTGGTAGGAAAAGTATCTCGATCTTGTTTATGTTTGCATGTCCAAAAGTACCTAACGGTGACATCTACCGAAGTCACAAAAGAGAAAGCATCGCAGATGTTGACAATGATGCTTAGGTCAATTTTAAGTTTGCTTTCCTCCAACTAAAGGTCTCAAGTGGTTCAACCCAAGCTCTAGACTCTAAGGATCTCTAAGGATCAAAACCCAAGCACGAAGCCTCTCCTACCCGGCTCCAACGATCAGTGCATGTTCGCTGCGAGGTACCGCTACTTTGCTGGCGCCATCTTGGTTTCGGTCGCGAGCTCGGGGAGAATGGAAAATGAAGCTGTTGGGGTATGCCAGCGGAGACGTCACCTAGCTCCGGACGCTTTTGGAACGCGAACAGGTCTTTTGTTCAGCATTTGTACCATGCTGAGCTGAACACCCGTGCTGAACACCCCGCTATCAGAATCGATCCGCGCGTCAAACACAGAGGAACGACCCACCGTGGCGCTGGGAGGAGCTAAGTTTCGTTTCGTTTCGTAGCTTGGGCGTTCACCTCGGTGCAACTCATCCGGTGATGCCGTGATGCCGTGGCTGGCGGCTGTGGGGGGTTTCCCCCACAGCTGCCGAAAGCCTGACAAGGATCGGAATGCCAATCAAAAAACATACACAAACCAAGTAACATCAGAATAACTCCCTGGTTTCGAGCATCCGACCAATTCGGAAAAAGAAGAACATGGACGATTGCCGTCTTGTTGGTGTTGATCTTCTCCCACATCCACGTCACAAGCTCGTTGAGATCCGAGTCCGATTCCCAAGGTCTTGGTTGCGAGCCTCCTGGGTTCCTTGACCTATCAGTGCCCCTGACCGGGTGAAGTCCGGTTTCAAACTCGAAGAAGGCGACCCTTGGGCAGGGTCGATACGGGATATTGCCTATATTTGTATATCTATACATGGTGTTGTGTGGTTTTGTTATGTTTTGTTGTTCGATGTGCAATGTGTATATAAATGCAAAATACACTTAGTTAACTTAGACATTGCTGATGCAGATGAGGAAAAACTATAGATGCATGGTCATGGAGGTGTGACAAATCGATGCACAACACGAAGTCTGCAACAACAACATGGTTTCGCTACTATGTTTGTCCACTGCAGTCTTTTTGTTGAATGATATCTTGCGATCTTGCTTTTAGGCTCCAGCCTGCAAAAGAACTTATCAGTGAATGCCAAGATTGCTTGAGCGACTGAGAGGAACGCGGAGGAACACCTCAGAACTGGCACTGTGTGCCGCTTCATGTCGGACATCCATGAAGTAGTTTCCGAACACATAGATCTATCTCATCCGACGATGGCTTTGGCTGTTGCTCCCCAAGCATGAACAGAGCCAAGGGCTTGCATGAAGAGAGGCAAGGGCTTTCACCTGCTGTGCCTCAGTTGGGAGGTACACCATGAAAGACGCCTACACCTTGACGCAGCATTTGAAGATGTACAAAGACGCTGGGAGCCGAGAGCGAGTCAGACACACCACGTCCGTCGAGCCGAGTGGTCGGGAGATCGGACGAAGCTTCTTCGTTTCCGACCGACCGGTAGTGGTGGTGGTCCTAAGACGCTCGTGGTCCTTGTGACGTCCATCGTACTTTGGTCATCTTCGGTCTAGGTTGACTAGCAGCAAGAAGCTACCAGGTGGAGGCCATCGTTATGAGGTTGGAGACCATTAATTTCTACTATATATAGTAACAAGAAGAAGCGTACTATAGTTACCTGTGCTCGTGCTCGTCTATTCGCAACATTCCCATCCTCCAGGCTCCCCGCTCGCCACATCGCGCAGGTGGATGTGGGCCAGGCCAAGGGACAGCAGATGATGGATGTTCGGACGCCCGGACCTGACGGGTCATCGCTTTACGCTGGGATCTGTTCTGGTCCAGCGTCACATGGTAACGATCCGTAGTCGCCGTAGTCCGGAAGCAGGTAGGGCAGGGCAGAGCGCCAGCCATGATGTGGATATATGTGTCATCTACCTGAAGTCCTGGGCCATCGAGCAGCGCCTGGAAACCCCAGGGTTTTTGGATGCTAGGATTCAATAGAGTTTCACACATGTTCACACCTTCACTGCCCTACTTGTCCTTTACATCTTACACTCAAGTATACTCAAACCCACTCTCCGATATTTCACCTATATACTTGGGGTAATCCTTGAGTGGGAAGGTACTCAAACCCTACCGTTTCCGACCACCTCATCACACCCAAGCAATCGTCTCCCTTCACCTGGAGTCCCACCGCCGCTCCACCGGTCATGCACCGCCCGCTCCACCGCTCCGGTCACCAAGGCCGGACTGGTGGCCTTCGAGACTTCGAGCGGCCTGGACCTTCGCAAGTCCCAAGGATCGACTGAAGTCCCGGACGACATGGCAACGACGGGTGAGTCCCGGGTCGAGTCACGGCGGGTGAAACGTGGGCGGGTGCAACTTGAAGACGGTGAAACGGCTTTTTCCGTGTGGGCTTTGTTCCGATGATTTGATACGCTAGTTCACTGGCATTGCTAGCAGCTAAAGCAGTGGTGTGCTACGTCGTTTGTTGAGGACAAGGATGCGGTTGAGCTTTATAACTGTCCAATAGAGTGAGATCACAGATATGGTCCAATGAATTCCAAACATATACTCTATATAATAAGCTCTCTCTATAACATGGCTTTCAATGTCTACCCCAACCAACGAGCTTCTCCTGTGCTTTCTCGCTCCGTCGAGGCTTCCGGGATGGTGGGAAGACCTACTGCGTGGCACCCATTACCAACGGCCAGGCGCGGGAGCGCGCGGGAGTGCGCGGGAGTGCGCAGGAGGGGAGAAGCAGGTGAAGCTGAGGCAGCTGGATGAGGAGAAGATCGGATTTGGGGTTGACTGAGTTCGTTCTGAAACAGAATGGTATCAACAAGACAAGTGACAAGTGCAACAACAGACTCAAAAGGAGAGCTGACTGAACCCCCAGTTTTTTTCAGGTTGTCATTTTGTGACCTGGTCAGAACAACATGAAGGGACATGAAGGGAATATATAGTGCACGTTATATAGATATATACTTCAACTTCAATATGTTTCAATGTTTGTTTTATATATCGATACTGTATGTGGATTAATTGTTTTCTCAGGCCACATACTGTGTTGGACATGGCTTTGCTTGCCTATAGCTCATGCAGACTGGCCGTGTTTTGGTCGACCCTCGGAAAAATCCATGTGTTCTGTTGCGCGGTTGCGGGACAGAGGGCCCATTTGGAGGGACATACAGTACACCAAAATGGTCAATACTAGGTAAAAGACCTGGATCTCCAAGCAACTTGAAGATCCTGGGCTGGGCTGCCCTCTTCAGTCAAAGTGATGTCTATTTTTGGCGGGGGAGAAAGTTTCATCTCCACTTCTAGGAATCAAAGTGGTGAGTTGGAAGGTTGTGAAGGTTGGACCAACCACATAGGAGTAGGACTTGATGCAGGCCAGACTCTTTAGTTAGGACTTGATGCAGGCCAAACTTTTTGTTGCATGTCCTGGTCTTGTTCAAGTCCGGTGTGACTCGATCTTCGATTTCTTCTTCAACTCCCCCAGGGCTCTTTGCCCGTCTATGACTTTTGGGCGGTGGGCGCGGGATCTCGGCAAAAGCACCCACGCCCCGGTCGTCGACATCTCCAGATCGCAGTGGCGACGACCAATGGACGGCACGACTGCTCTTTTTGGCGGAACTTGAATGGAAAAAAGGTGTTTAAATAACCTTGGCAAGTGCAAACTGCCAGCAGTCACAAAGGGGTGCTTAATGGAGGTTAGGGGTGCCCATTATCCACTCACTTAGGGACTAAACACCACCCCTTTGTGACTCCTGGTGGACATGGATGTGTTTTTCATCCAAGATCTTGCTTGGACGAACTTTCTTGGTGGGGTGACAGGTTCCCTATTGTTTCCTTGTGATCCTTTTTGGAAGGACCCCATTTTTTCCAGACTGTTGAAAACGGTAGTGATGGTGGCATTTTTCTGCATTGCATAAGATATCGTGATGGTTATCATGGTGCTTTTTCGGGTGCTCTGCATTCTTTGGGCGCAGTCAGTGTTTTTGTTGTTTTTTAATGGTGGAATGACCAGGGTGAACTGCTTGAGACAAGCAATGTTGCGAATCCGAACTGCGTTGTACATCCCAACCGCATACTTGTGATTGGAGCATGTGTTGCGCCTACTTGCTTTCAATATAATGAAGCAAGGAAAAGCTTCAGGCACATTGTTGCAGGAACAATAGAACCAGATAGAACACACGGAAACAGTACACGCATGTTGCACACACACAAACCTTATATATATAATACATGTTCAATGTCCTTTGCCTGTTGAAAATTGTGGAGTCTCCTACTTGCTGCATGCGCGCACCAACAGACACGGACTTTTATCTATGCCCTGGCAATCCAGTCGACCATCCTCTAAAATGGCCTTTGGGTGATCTGAAAAGGAGTTGTCTTTACTTTGGTGCCAAATATCGTCGAGCTGGCCTTCTAGAGTATGGATGGTTCAAAAGTGGGTACCACAAGGTAAAGACTATAGGGCAACTTTTTAAAGGGCTGTTCGGGACGATGTTTTTGTCTCTCTACCGAGCAAAGGGTCTGCAATTTGGTGACTATTTGGTAGTAGTTTTTGGAAGACATATGGAATAAAGACAAAGACACGTGCTCATTGCATTGTTATCAGACTTCTTCCTGGGTCCTCTAATTTGACGACACTTCGCAGGAAAACGGCAGACACCCGCTGTTGTTTGTTGTAGCGAGCGGTGCTGCAGGTGTGGACTGTTGCAGCAGCATCCGCGCAGACTTCCGATGTGGCCAGTGCGCGGCTTCGATCGAGATCCGATGAAGGCTTTGAGGGTCACAAAAACCTTCTCAACTGATGGTGAGACTTTTAGGATGAAAGAGACTGTGACTGAACTTGAAGAAGTTCATCTCCTGGTTCCTCCTGGCACTCGCTTTTCGTGTCACACCGCGTGCACCGCGAAACGCTTCGTTTCACACCGTGTGCACCGAGCGCGGACGGTGACCAGGTACGACCAGCCGCGGGCGCACGCGGGCATCCGGTGGTTGAGTGCTGGACTCGGAGCGAAGATCTCGGTGGACAACAAGGGTTCGCTGGGTGGACATCGACCATGGACCGGACAGAAAAAGATAAGCAACATCTATGCACAAAGAAACATTAAAAACACATACTAAAATATGTTACGTTGTTTATTAAGGGAGTTTATTCTGATGTGGATACAATTAGAACATATGACATAGGTTCATGGTTTACGGGATTATATAGGGCAATTGTCCATGCCATGGTCCAACTCATAAGATAAAATTATATGCCATTTCATGGACCATGAGATACCATGAAGAAACAGGGACCTGGACCGGTGATTTCGGGTGGCACTGCCTGAGGATTTGGGGAGTATGACATCTCGTTTTTACCTCAGTAGGAGAGGTCGATTCGAGTGGTTTAGCATGGTTTAGCTATTTTGGCGCAGCTGGGTGCTGAGGAGAGGTCTATGTGGTCTAGAGATTTAAACTATACGGAGTATATACGGATGACCTCGAGGTCAATATGCATGAGGTCTATGATATCTCCTGATGCAGTTCAAACACTTTGAGAGAATCCTTTGTTGCCACTGCATCCACTTCAAGCCGTGCAGCGCGTCGCACGCGCGTTACGCGAGTGCGAACACGCCCCGCGCGCGGCTCACGCGGTCAGCCATGGCCAAGAGACATGTGGAGTTGCTGAGAGATGCTTGGAAGCTAATTGGGGAAGAGTGCCAGGGTTCTGCCCAGAATTCTATGCCACCATTGGTTTGTTGAACGGGGATTGTTGGAGAATGGAGAAGTTGGATAGATCACTGTCGATCTTCACGTTTCACAACATGTTCATCCAGTTTCGTGATAGATTTTTGGAGGCTTCCCTTAGTAGGAAGCGATGTTTTTTTCATTGGCCGTCACGGGCCTGGACCGACGAGTTCCCCGGACGAACCGGTCATGGCGGTCACATCAGACCGCCGGGGACGGTCTGACGGCTTCTTGTGACGAACGCAGCGTCCGATCGCTCCGTTCGTAGCGATGCCAGGAGCCCGCCTAGTGTCGCTTAATGGTTACTTAGTCTGCGAAATGGGGGCTGACTTGCATTCAAAAGTGGCAGGTGGTGACCTGTTGATCGTCGGGTGCCGGCAGAGAACGGGACGAACTTCCCGAACAGCATCTAGGTTCCAATACCTCTCTATAACATGAGAGGGTCAACATGTGTTATAAAGTGTTTTATAGAAAAGAGGGCCACTATATACGTTGATTTTATAGAGAAACCTTCCTTGCGTGGGATTTTATAGAGCATGTTGGTGTTATAGATAATCATTAGTGTTGGTAAATACAAGTGACTTGATAGCAAACAATTGTGGAAAAAGCATTGTTGCATGCAGTTGCGTGCAGCTTGGAAACGCAAGGATTCATGATGGAGGCTTGCTGGTGTTATCTGATGTTGAACGTGGTGTTAGGACGGTGCATTTCATAGACATCACACCCTCTTCATGCCAGTTAACTTGATGGTATCAAACCGCGACAATTTGTAAGAAGTTTGAGGGTCAGCACATTCATTTTATAGAGCTGGCTGGCTCATTTTGTCAACACATTGGAGGTCACACCGTGCCGTTTTATATCAAGTCTCAAGCAGGACCCCCTACCCCATTTTGTAACATGGATCGAAGAGCCAAAAACGACGACCTAGACAATTCCGTTGTTCCAAGCAGGCGAGAGACCGGTCTGACCTGCTCACTGTGGCACCGAACGTTGACGGATGTTCAGTGGAGTTCACCACTGAGTTTGTAGAGGATTTCATGGTCAATTTGATGTCTGAATACCATGCCATCCTCACCATGATTAATTCAGCGAGGGTAGAGGTGTCTTGTAAATGTTCGCAGCTGTCAAGATCCTTTGGACATTTGGGCATGTTTCATCCATCGCCAAATTTGCGGGCCAAAGATTTATCGTTCTCCGATGCAAGTAAGTGACCCAGCCGAAATGGTGGATTGGGCTCTTGAAACAATGCCAAACAATACCAAATAGATCCAAATTGCCTAGTGTGTTTTTGTTTACAAAAACACATCCTATACTTGTTGCGACTTGTCATACTTGTCTACTTCACTCGTCAAAGGATGTCACGGCAGATTCGGCCTTTGAATGTCCCGACCCGGTCTGGGCTGTTGGCCACACCGTCGTCACGGTGTTCTCCCTGCTTTGTTGAGCGTGTCAGGGGGGAACAGTCTTTTGTTTATCGTTTTTTTCGATCTGCCTGCCTGAATTATAACGACGTCACTCGAGGTCACTGCAAATTCCCCCTTGATGTGGTTGAATTGCTGTCCAGTCTGAGCAGCTTCTCAATGGTTGCAGCCTTGAGCAGTGTGCCCACCAAACGTAGCCAGAAAAGACGCCAGATGTTCTCAAGACGCGGGTGCAAGTCTGGCGACTTGAGAAACGTCCTCCCAGTCCTCCCCAGGTCACATCTTCCACCGACATCAGGCCTAGTTCAGACGACCTATAGGTGGCCTTATTTCAACTTAAGGAATTGAACCTCCGACTCCGACCTGACAACCTACGAAGTATTACAATTCAGCCAGACTTTTGGTTTTGAATGTGTTTTTGTTGTTTAATTACCTTAACGTTGATTTGCTTGTTTGTATTTGTTTGTTTGTGTTTCAATGCAACACGATCGCAGGCACCCGCCTTCTTTCGCCCTTCCAACGCGGGGGGTTCCCCGAGGAGAGGTTTGGAGAAGAAGTCCTTCAGGCGCTGATGGCTCAGTGGTCCGAGGCGCTCAGTGGAGCGGTCCGGTCCGGGTGCGGCGTGTGATGTAGCGGCGATGGTGTGATGTGAGCTGCGAGCGGGCGTGAAGAGATGGATTTGATCTTCGGGAAAAGGGTGAAATCATTGGTTTAGATTGGTTTAACTTGCGTGGACATTGAAAGTTAGATTAGAAAAAGGTGTTGGCTGGTCTCAGCAAATGCTTGACAGAACTCGATGAATGATACTCTTTAAAGTGCCGATCAACAAGCTGGTGAATAATGAGGGACAACACAGAAAGTCCACCTGTGGTCAGTAGGGAGTCCTCAATTGAGACAGATCCAGGATCCATATTTTTTTGAACACTTCACACATCTTGGCACCCATTTATATAGCCGGAACAGAGATGGAACCTGAAAACCTAAAAGCTTTTGTAGTACCGGGGCAAGATGGGGTTGGTTGTGATACACGGTGGTGCCAAGAACATTTGTCTAAGAAGTTGCCAAGTTGAGAAGTACAGCCTCTACTGGCTACTGGCCATCGGATACAGTATGATACAGATTCAGTATGATACATATTTTTGGGGGTCCGACTACGCAGGCCACGAAGAGCTGCGACCGCGCCAAGCTGGACTTCTTCTTGCGCCTCGCGGAGCCTGCACCCCCCTGCTTCGGCGGCGTCGAGGCGATTTTCGTGCGGGTGTAGGGAGGTGTGGGAGGTGTGCGGCACCGGTTTTCTTTTCGGTGGGGGTCGAAAGGAAGGAAAACGATCCGAAGCACATGTGTATGGCACCTGCACCTAAATGGAAGAATGGATATTGAATGGATTTAATCACATGTCATATGTTGACTCAGTTACTTTGGGTGTTTGGGGAGAGGATCTTCTTTAGGACTGAAAGTGCCAAAAACTTACGCGCAAACGTCAGTTTTTCAGGTGTTTGGTGGAGCGTGGCAGGGCCAGAGATTCACGCCCTGCACTCGCCCGCAGTACATTTGGGGGTTTGCGCAGCTCAGCAGACGACCGAGACAAGGAAGATCCAAACATCGTAAGCTTCCTTTGCTGGGCTTTGATGTGGGGTCTTTGGCCTAGCCAGCGTAGTTTGCAGGTGCTTCCTGGATTCCTGACAAGATCTGGCAAGAATAATATTACAGAATCAGCTTGTGATCAAGGCATTTGAAGGAGTTGCTTCCTTTCGATTTGTTGTGTTCAGCAAAAAATAATCCACTAAATCAGTGAGATTCAATCTTATTGGGCGACGCTGGACAGTACACCACAACCCCATGGTTTCTTGATAAATCATCTTTGAAGAACTCGGCCAGGAGAAGACTTCAGCGTACACAGAGGAGATCGCGCCGGCATGATATTACATAAGTTGACCTCGTGACCCAGTACATTGTTGATCCAGTTTGACCAAGATATAATCCAAGAGACAGGGAATTGCCTGTTTTTCAACGATGAGACCTCACAACCGAAGCAGTTCGTTGAGCAGATCTTGGTGGCAAGGATCACATGCACGAACTCTTAGCAAGGATGGTTTTGTGTGCCTGGGCGGCTGATTTAGGACGAGGCACTAGAATTGATGCATAACTGTATAACAAATATGGTAAATATGGTTGTTCATTGGACAAGAACATGTTAAAATCCCACGACATCTACCAAGGGCACCTGATGAACACCGGTATTTGGTCCAATGATGTTGAGCAGCTTCACGTGACACTGTCGCACCGCTGCACGAGCTGACTGTAGAGGTCGGGCAGCCAGAAGGCTTTGTTGTGGGTCGTTTGCGCAAACACAGCTGCGAAGATTCATCCCCATAAGTCTTTTGCCCATCAACAGGCTCACGAGTGTGTGGTTTTGCGACCAGAAATGTCCGGAATGATGCACAATGTGTCATTTCCTTTGGTTCACTTCAAACGATCCTGGTCTGGAAAGATGTGCTGGTTCAACCGTGTTCGCCTTCGCGTTCGCTTCGCATTTCTGTGCATGTAGCAGGAGGTTTGCCTCTACATCTTGGAGGGCTTTCGCTTAAATAGACAGATATAGACTTAGAATGATATGATAGACAAATAGATGCTACCAGCACGGTTGAATCATGTTGAATCATCCCCATCCCAAAAGGCCGTGAGTAGTTGCAAAACCACCACTTCTTGCAGTTCCGGAGGACCCTCAGATGACTAGCTGCAGGCACAAGCATTCTTATGTCAACCTGGTTTTGCTAGAGCGATGTGCAGGAACGATGTTGTTTCACGGTTCCTGCACAGGTCTGCGGCTCGCCGTCCACCGACCGGACTTGGCCGAGGTGCCCCTGAGACCTGGTTTGAGGTCATCACTGGCAAGCCCTGCCCGGCCGACGCCAAGAACGACTTCAGCATCATTGGTGTGGCCTTTGATAGCTCTTCACGCCTCCGGCGTGCAGGGGTGGAGTACTACCACGACAGGCGCAGTTGACAAACACACGTGGGAAGTGGGAAAGACTGGTGGGCGCTGGCAGTGTTCATGAATTGATGGATGATGGATGATCATGGGATCTAATATTGAGAGTCCAGTCATGACTCAATTTTTTCCCCGAACTGGTAACTAGTGGTGGATTATGATTCCCAGGTGGGGTAAAAGGAGTCGTTGGAAGGTTGTGGGCAATTTAATATACTCAAACGATGCACTTGATGTGAGTCTTCTAGATGGCTGGAATGTAATGTTTGTTTTACGTTGGGGTGTCTTCAGTGTGAATGCAGGTCAATGCTAACATGATATACATATCCAGACACTCCATGTATATCCATGTATATATAGTATATATGCCTACATTGGGGCGGTTTGAGGGGTCAATGTAGGCATATATGCCATACATGGAGCGTCAGGGTATGATAGTATGGGGGTTCTTGATAAATCATGAGAAAGTCTATTGCATACAGAAGCACAAGCAGAAAGGACACGCGAGCAGAGTGACAGAATCAAGGCAAGTGTGATTTCTGGTTCAGCATGTTTGCTGGCTTGGGGGATACTTTTCCCATCTTTTCCCCACCTGTGTAGCTTGCAGGAAGTCCCTGAAGTCCGGTTAACCGGCTGAAACGCAGGTGGTCCAAGAAGAACGTGCAGGACCGTGCCGGGGGTCGTCGTGACGTGCAGTCGTCTTCGAGCGGTCCGTGTCCGGCGGTCGCGAGGTTATGTCATTTAGCAAGTAGTAACAAGTGCCTTACTAGGACGCTAGTAGTAACAAGGGGATGTTATGGGTGTGGACCATCAGTTCACTGATCATCCCTAGGGAGAACGAACGTCCCAGATCCTCAGGTTCGGTGGTATTCGACCCCTGTGCCACCCACCCCAAGCATCTTCGAAACGGAGGTAGTTGGAGCCCCAGGGCATCCCACTTGCCCTGCCAGGAGGGATATCTTTATGTGGGCTCCTTAGAGACTCCCAAAGTGGAGCAAGTGCGAGATCTGCCACTCGGCGAAGATTGATGTTGGACACTTTGTGGCTTCCAGTGCATCCCATGTCCTTTTCGGGGTTTTGACCAATCCTCTTGATCTAAAGTTCTTTGACCACAAGTCGGGCGACTTTTCTTCAGGTGGAAGAACCAATCAGAAATCTAAGGAAATCTGGAAATTCTCAGGGTGTTCACTGGTGCAAAGTCTCCTTATCTCTAGCTGGATCTAGCTGGATAAGAAAGCTTGTCCGCCAAGGCTGAAAAGCCGAGGGGTTCAACGTAAAACCTTGCTGTGCTTCAAAAAGCATCCACCATTGGAACCAGAGAGGCTTGGGTGAAGCCTTTTCTCGAGTTGTTTTTTCCTTGAAGCCTTTTCTTCTTGCTAGCATGCGCTGGCGCATGTAGTTCACATGCCAGTTCATGAACAGAATGAAAGTTCATCTCCCACGGAAACCCCGCACACTTCGGGGTACTTGGCCCAAGAATTCTCTTGGTTTGCACCTCCAAAGCCCACATGATGAGAGATGTAGAGAGTGTGCAGCAGAATCTCTCAACATCTATCCAACCATCGCAATATACCAGCATCCTCACTGCCAGGTCTCCTCGTTCGAGGGTTGTTGGGCTCTAACAGGTCTGAATTGGTGACTTGTGCAGTAGTATACATTGGTTTGTGAGATGCTCCGCGGTTGCTCCATCTTTCGATCACCCTCCAACCCAGAGCAGACCTCAGCACAGGGCGCCCAAGAAGGAGGGCTTGGTTCGGATGGTGGCCATCAGCCACTGGGCATGACGGGCGTGGTCTTGCAGACCGACGTGCCACACCCTACCAGGTCCAAGGACCAAGTAAACGCTGCTCCTTAACCTCATGAAAGACTATAAGACTGTTTTTGTTTATGACCGAACCCAGTGAAATTATATTATGAGGTCTTTAAGGACATACAGTTTTCCGTCGTATTCCTTGGCGAAGTTGCCACACATGGCCAGGTGTTGTTGGATGGTCGCACAGCTCCATGTGACATGAACGAAAGGCCTCAGATCTCAAGGAGTCTTACAGATCTCAAGGCCACCCTTCGGTCATTCTGGAGCTGTGCCCCCCGGTTTGATCCTCCTTGGCCTAGTTTGATCACTTTGGGTGATGTGTGCGTGTGTGTTTTCCATGATGGGTGAATCCCCTAACTTGGGGAATACAGTATGTTGTATCTTTTTCTCGCTTCTTCCCTAGGCCCTAGGCAAGACAAATCCAAGTTTGGGTTGTTGGTCTGAAATACGTCTAGACTACTTCAATTGATCAATCCCAACGAAAGAAGACCGGACTTCAAAGGCCTGGCCCTAGGAGGACTTGTTGTCTTTGGGGATTTTGACACCATCAACCATTGACTTGTTGACCGTTGTCTCCTGTTCGCCAGACCGGAAAGCAGCGTTCGCCAGACCGTTGTTCACCCGCCTCCCCAAAAAAATGAATCTGAGGTGATACGCATCTCCTCCATGAGAATCTTCCACTGCCTGAGGGCGATCTCTTAGTTCATGCGGGCGACTTGAGCTACGAGGAGCTCTTGAACATGTCAACCTGGGCAGGTGTTCGGTGTTCAGAATCATGAAGAGGGCGTAGAGATTGACGGAAAAAACGGAACACAGCTGGGGAACTTGCTACATGTTCAAAATGACATGGATTTGATTGAAAGGGAGACTCTGATAAAAGAACACCGTGGATTCATTTCATCCACAGGCTCCATTTTCTGCAGTGAAGGCTGGGATTGCAGTGTTTCATCATTTTCAGCTGATTTTTTGTGCAAAACACGCGCCTCAGGACTCGTCCTTTCAAACAAACAGGAGAAGTCCCATGATCACCCACGGCGATGGTCCCCATCGCAGTACTATGGTATCCCCATACCAGCACCACCCAGTTCCGATGGTTTATAGACACCCTAAGTAGATATCCTTTATACCACGTGTTTACCATCCAATAGCAATCCGAACTGGGTGGGGCTGATTGGGGAAGAACGTCGTCGCATCATTAAGAGACTCGTCGTTCATTTCTCGTAGACTGTCGCTTGCAAGAGAGAAGGCGACGACTCGTTGGTGCCCTTTTTTCGTTGCTTGACATTGGGCATGTCAATCGGTCATGTCGAAGAATCGTGCTCATACTGGGCATTTAAAAAAGTCGGAAGCGTGTATATTTACTGTAACAGTGGGCATTGTCCAACTCAATAGGTACTCCTCAAAAGTGTGTTTTTGGTGGTCCCCAAAGAGTATGACCGTGGCCACGGTGTTCCGAAAGGGATCGTGGTTTGTCCTAACTATTTGGGGATCTACTGCACGACTCTGCTTCTTTGCGACGAGCCCGACTGCACGAATCGATGGTGAAATCAACCAAAAGCGGTGACGCGATTGTTCGACCATTGAGCCGTAGGGTCCTCAAACCGAAGGACCCCAGGTGATTCTCGGACTGGAGTGGTGTGACGTGGGCCCATGTGAGTTCGTTTCAAACCGGGGGATTTCGTGGATGTCATGTTGTTTTAAGGAGACTCCAGAAAGACCCGATCAGATCTCGTTGGATCGGCTGGCGACTGAGTCTGGACGCACCGGGACCCTTTCGGCCAGTGGTCAATTCAACCATTCGAAAAACATGGAGCTTTTCTCCCAACACATGCCGGGCGCGGCATGGGCGCGCTTGTTTGAAGGTCCGTTACGTCCTCGTCTCCGATTCCCCGAAGACGAGTCGCGGTGGCTCTCCAGGAGTCGCGGTCCAAAGATGCCAGCGACTGCGTGTCTAGCGGAGAGCGGAGCGGAGAGCGGAGAGCGGAGCGGAAAGCTAGCTTGGGACGTGTCTGTTTGTTTCGGCGGCTGGGGGACCTGCCGATCAGTATTGGAAGAAGCATAATTGGTTTCAGGGACTGGGTTTCCAGGTGATGCTGAAATTATGGAACATGAATGCATGTTTTTGCACATGTTTGTTTTTGTGTTTTCGAAACACATTATGGTTTGCTGGCCCTTCCTTTGGCTTCGGCGGCTTTTCATGTTCGTCTCAATGCCCACGGCTGAACTCAGAGCATTTTGAAACGTTTGGCACGTCTCAAAAGTCCTAAAAAAGAACACCCTGATTCATGCTCAGCACATGTTTCGTCCTCCAAGTGTCCTCCCCACCCACCGGCATCCCCAAAAGGCGTCTCCTGCATGCAAAAGAACAAACCTCATGCTCCGCCAACATCGCCGGGGTCGCCAAACACACGCCCTCTCCGCCTCCGCACGCCGCTGACGTTCTTCTTCACTCGACGATTCGACCGACGTTCGAAGACGACGTTCTTCATTCACTTCACTTCACCGAGTTGGAGAAATTGAAAGACTTCGAGAGCGACTTCAGCGCCTTTCTCCGCTGGTTTCGATCCTCACACCTGGGCTTCGCCGCGTCGATGCGCTGGCGCCTCGGGCCGGAGGGGACCGAATCGCACGTCCGGCAACATCCGGACCGCAATGTGGTAGCATGTGAGAAAACGAGTATAGTAATGGATGTAAACATCCGGGAATTCCGGGTCCGCTGATTTGTTGAGTTCAAATTATGCTGTTTTGGCAATGGGATATTGAAGATTTAAGGTTCTTTGGCACTTGAGTCGTTATGTTGGCCTGGATGCCGTCCAAGATTTCGTACAGGTCACTGTTCCAGGCCGGGCAAGAACCCGATGTTTCCCAGATCGTGTTTGTTTTCAGATCGAACTTTGCATCCACCTCGTAGTAAAACGGGATCCGTTCCAGGCCACAAGTTGCATTGAAGACAACTATCATCAGAAAGCATGAAAAGACTCCCTTGCGGACCCCCCTTCCCCTTTGAATTGATGTTTGGATTTGGATGCGAATTGCACGACGTCACTCAAGTGGCTCAACATTTTCTCTCAGCTTGAGATGGTTTGTGACGGCTTTCCGAAACGCCTTGTGCTTGCTACTTCCAACACCCGAATGGTCGAGTTGTCGCTTTGCTTTCGGAAGAAGACTGGGCCAGAGGACTAAGGACTTTGGAGGTTCGGACCTTCACGTCCTGCCATCTTCACGTCCATTCAGTTGCCATCTGCCACGACCTGCCGGTGCAACCGCCGTCTTCGTGTGTGTCGAAGAACTGGTCTTTTCGGGTTGACACCTGCCGTGGCTCTGCCCCTGCCCTCGCCCTCCGCACCGGCACCAGACGTGTAAAAGCCGCCCAGGCTTGGAAGCGTTTCGAAGTTTGAGCATCGAGTGCTGGTGGGCGGAAATCACGATTACATCCTTGAGAAGTTGGGAGCCTTGGCAGCCTGAGGGGTGAACCCATGATATAAATGCGCTTCCAGCCGGAGACGGACGCTTCTGTTCGTAGAGCGAAGAGCATGTGGGGGGGGTGGGGCGAAAGAGGTTCTTGAAAAAGCGGGTTCGTAATGTCGTAATGGTTCGTAGATGCTGGATTCTCAGCTAGCCTAGCAAGTTGTGGTATATATTGCTGCATAGTTTGCTGCATATTGCTGCATACGTGGAATAATGTTGCTTGGTGTTCTTTGTGTTACAATATCAATGCGGATCAGCCACAGTCAAACTGGAAAGCCCATTTCTGGAGTGTAATATCCGCTAATTAATTGTTTAAGAGTCACTTTGGAGGGAAGACATTCGACTGCATGCAGGATTCCAAAGGGGTGTTGAGTGGGTATATATGAATATGTGTGGTGTGACTTATGTGTTGTTCTTCGCTTTGGCCAGATCACTTCGAATTAAAAGATTGATATATGCAGAACTGTAAACACTTAACACTAGTAGTTATAAGGTATGACATCATTATGATCTGTTTTTGAATTGTTATGATCATATACCATGACCATCCGACCATGGTGTCCGGACCTGCGAGCTACCTGTCGCTACCTACCCGAAATCTGACTGCGACGGTCCCAGTAGACGGTCCCGGTAGGTCCGTTTTGGGTGTGCGGCCCGTGGTCCGAGTCGAAAGCAACGACCAACATGTCGTTCTCGCTTAAGTCCCGAGTCTTTAAAGAGTCTTTCATCGACGGCTATTCCCTTCACCTACATCATCATACAGCATACAGCATTTCACGACACCCATTCGGCACTGAAAAGACAGTTGTGCCATACCAGTCTCAAAGTACCTCAGAAGATGGGTACAAGTACTAGTATATCCTGCTTTTATAGGGTCATGTTTTTATAGTACCCTGAGGCCCCGAACGAGCGCAAATGCTTTGTGAAGACTTCGGGGTGAAGTGGCTCAGACTGCATGGGTGGTAAACCTTTCGGGACGATGAAGACTTGGGGTGGCCCAAGCTTACGAGGGTATTTTAGGGGTTCCGTCACGTTCCATAGGTTTGATGCACCAATGCAACATCGATAGATGCGATCCATCGTTTTCGTGCCCGTGCCCTGAATTTGGGAATCCCGTTCCCCCTTTTCAATATCGCTCCTTCAACGTAGCGATGTGGAAGAACGAGGAAAAAGGCTGTTCTCTTTCGACCACCAATGCGTGGTTGACGGGAGGAGTCATGTGAATGAATCTCCATCCTCTCTCCATGCAAGAGAGTTGGTCAAGGACCGCTTTTGGACGAAGTCACGTCTGAATGGCAAGAATGGTTGGTGTGAAGATCCGAATCTTTGATCCTGTTCTTCAAAACGCTTGTTTTCACGCTGCCGACGTGAAAAGAATCCACCGCCGGATCGCATCGTCCTGGAACTGGTTAATGCGTCGATCTTTTCAGAGCTGGCATCCAGGCTTCCTCTCTTACAAATTCGCAAAGGAAATAGAGTTCCCAGCAAAAAGTTGATGTGACATATTGCCTTCATTGGGCCTAACAAACATGCATTCACGGCTTCGGGCTGAACCACAAAACCCACGCTACTTCGTTCTTCGTCGCGTGGTGTCGAACTCACTCACTCGCGCCTGGGGTGCGGACGGTGCCGGGGCCGAGGTATCTTCACACCGAAGCGGCACCCCTCTCGCTGTCGTTCCCCTCAGGCGGCAGGGGGCGGTGGGAGCACACGAGCACCGGCCTATTAAGACACGGACGACTCGAACCAATCCAAGTCACAAGCCGAGCTTTTAGATGTTTGTATTGTGAATTGCCCGGTCCTTTGTTTGATGTCGGACGGATGGGCGATATTTCTGGAGGTTGAGCAGTCGACTGACAGAGAGTCCCGCGGTTCCACCGCTCAGTCGGGGGGTTGGGAGTTCTTGGAAGGTCTAGAATCGAAACCAAGCCGCCAAAAACCTGGAGTCGACAGCCAATCCAGACATCCAGACAGCCCCTCACATGGCCCATGTCTTTGGTGGCCAAAACGAACCCCGCGCGAATCCAGAGTTCTTACGCTCGCACAGGTAAGAACAAGAGGCCTCAGGTTCCCTTTCCCAGTCTCTTGGAGTTGATTCCAAGGCCAGTTTGTTTGCCTTCCCTTAGAAATTTACCCTGGCCTGAGTGTCACCCTTCCCCTACCCAAAAAACCATCAAACACATGCCTCCTGAATCCTCCCTAGACTGAACTCGCTCTTATAAGAGGCCGGGTTCTTTTTTGAAGCTCATGAGTTCCAACCTTTGCCCCAGACATCGGTACCATGCTCCCCCCAAGAAGTGCCCTCATCACATCTCACAAGCTCAGAACTCCCGTCTCGCCCGCCCAACGCCAACGCCCAATTTCGCGCATGCCCAACGCCCAATTTCGGCGTTCATCCATGGTATTTCCGCGGGGAGTTGGTTCCTTGTTGCCCCGAGCACCCTATAGAGGGTCTCTTTTCTGTTTCTGTCACATGATCGATGTTCTCTCGTTACTAGTACTAGTCGTCTTCTACCTTGACGTCCCCCATGACGTGTCTAGGTCGCAAGGTGAAGATCTGGGGTTCTGGCGTCTCCTTCTTTGCAGCACTGGGGAAGGATCGTGCCGTGATCTCGGGCAACATCGCTCCTCGGCGCCGTCGTTGGTGTCGAAAGGTTGAGGCAGGCGTGGCCGGGCGAGGCTGCGGCGATGTAGGCTTTGCTATAGATGTAATACAGGGATGTGTGGGAGGAGGACACTGATCTATGGCATCAAATGAAGATAGGAATCCACATTAGACAATATATAATGCATATCATTATATAGGAAATGTTTAAGTTTACTGCTGTATTCTTGGCATGCTCCGGATGCAGCCGGACTACAAGCTCCAGTAGACGATCTTGCAACGAAATTGGGGTCCCCTTTTCTTGAGTAGTTGTCTTCATGGAACTGGTGGTGAGCCAACGATGACAATCATGTTTGGTGTGATCTTAGACTGATACCGATGGATGACCCTTCTAAAGGTGCTGCGCTTATCATATGAAAGTCTGGTCGAATGTGGGGGTGAAGAGGAAATTCGGAATTTGACATTCGAACGCAAATACTGCACGCAGCTGAAACAAATGGAGTGTAACACCGAGGTGTGTCCGTGCGTGAACAGCATTACTATAGTAGCAAGAAGCAGGTTGAAGGCCATCGCTAGTAGGTTGGAGGCCATTACTTCTGGCAAGAAGCGGATTTGAGGAAAACACGTGATGCTCGGCCGCGGAACCGGACGTTCGGCTGTCTGCTTCAGCAGACCGGACTGCTGGTTCCTCTTTCGATGTGGAAGCCGGTGTGGACCACATGGCGGCCGGTCAGGGAAGCCGGTCAGATGTTGCAAGGAACTGACTGATTTGGACCAGGGAACGGTGTAGACTCTATGACTGAGTCTTGACTGTTAAGACCCAGTGCATGTAGAACCTTCTTGGGGCTGCTAGCTTCTCCAGATCTCCCTTTTTCAGAAGCCTCGCTGAAGATACATTGGCCATGCGCTGGGTGGAAACATGTGGAAGACTGCTCCGAGCAAGGCTATGAACTATAAATGACACATATAACGAATTAGACCCTGAAATGCATAACCTAGCGCTTAAATGTAGGTGTCATTTCTTTTGTGCTTCCATGTCGTTCCACACAGTTCTGCTGGATGATGTCGATCCCTTCTTCCCGGGTGTGCTCAACTTTCGCACCAAGGCATACCAGCTGGATACAGCAACTGAAGAAGACAAGTTCGTGAAGGAGAATCCATCGTTGAGCGACTGGATTCATGACAGACTCAGCGTATGATAGACTCACCCCTGCATGTGTATTCAATGCATTGTATTGCAATGTTCACTTTTGAGGACCCATTTGCATTATGTTGCCATAAAGGGATGTTGCTCTTTTGCCTTTTTCCTTGGGATAATCAGAGAATCACCGCATCAGGATGAGGGTTTGGTAGCACCCCCTAAACAGCTTAGTTTGAGACAGGAATCAACTTGTCCATACTTTTCCTCTTTCCAAATTGGTTTCTTTATTGAGACGTGACATCTCCTTGCATACTCAGTCATCCACATGACACAGTGACACTCCTACAATGGGAAAGAAAGCTAAAACCCTCCTACAATCACCGTTGACCTGGCTTTTTCAAGGAGACCGCTGACCTGGACTTACTGTTCAGACTCTCCATCTGGACAAAGACTCAACGAACACCCAACTTCACTCATCAGGCGCCTGTCAAGGACGCAGGGTCCACTGGTGCCTGCCTTCGCGGTGCCGCCCACGCGTCGGTTCGAAGACCGTCGACCCGCAGGAGACGGCGCATGTGAAGCCTGGCTCCGTGAACGTGTTGATCACCCATGGCCCCCCAGCGGGGGCGCTCTATGGAAAGGGAGCCCTGGAGAACGCATTGGAACGATATGTTTTTTTGTTTTTTCAGTTCTTTCATGTGTTGCAAGAGGGTTGCACCCGTCAGGTATATATATGATAATAGTACGGTTATATTTATGATGTTATATGTTTTTTTGGGGGGGGCACGTTTACATCAACGCTTGGCTTGGCTTGTTTACATCAAGCAAACTGGTGGGATGAACAGCTCTTTTACCTCTTACAAATGTTTGTTGCGGGGATCGGATGTACCCCGCACTCTCTTCGGTCTTTTATGGCTTCTTTTTCTCCATCTCGGAGACGAGTTGGGGCCCTTGGGGTGATTCGGTGTCGAAGCCGAGGCAAAACAGCAGATGCAGGGTGAGAGTTTGATTTGCACCACATGCAGCAGGGGATATTTCTTTTGCAGATGGCCGATGGCGAGATGACTGATGGGAGCCCACAGACCTCATCACCACCCACCACCACCCATCACCACCCATCACCACCCATCACCATCACCACCCATCACCACCCATCACCCTCACCAGGTTCCCCATCGTTGCCCCCATCGTTGCTTTTCTCACATTCAGCTCCGTCGTAGTGTCGGAGTCACGACTGGATCGTGGTCTGCCCAGGGGATCAACCCAAATGGATCAACGACTTGTTGAAGCGAGTGAAGCCGCAGGTCTACTTGCACCTGGGCTTCAGCAGATGGGTTGAGGGAGACAGGTTGAAACACCGGATGGATGGTCTTGGAGCAGTCTTTGATAAAGAAAAATACACATCCAAACCCACCCTGCTGGCCTTCACCGATTCTCAGCAAGCTCTAGTCTCCAAATGTCATGTCCAAGGTGTGGTCATGCGCACAACCCGGAGAAGGTGAAGCTCGAGCAAAAAGTTGCGGATGTGGAAGGCTGGTGGGGCACAGGTGGTGGACGGTGATAAGATTTTGAGAAGTGGAAAACCACCTGGGTGTTCATTTAAACCCCGAAGAGGTGCTCCTACTGATGTAAATTCATGAAACATTGTAAATTAATATGTCCATGTGCCAAATCCCTAGTAACATGCACACGTTGAATCACTTGCATTTGTTGCCCACTTCAAACATGTGCTAAATGCATTGCAACCATGTAGGTTTTGCATCGCAACATCTTAGTCATTCCTCACTTCTTCTCGTGGCACCGAGTTGCACTTCTCACAGATCAGGCACTCTTGGTGCTCACATTGCCTCGACGAGTGCATCCTGGAGGAAAACCGCTTCGGTGCTTGCATGGAGAAGATGAGAGAAGATGATTCGAAGTGTTTCAAGAACCGGGAACAGAAGATGAACATAGGGTTCAGGTGGACAGGACAGGACAGGTGATCTTGTTCTTCTTCTTCTTCTTCTTGTGGTTGTTGGACAACCTTGACCGGGTGCATGAGACGACGAACATCACCTCGTCCGTCCGAAGAGTGGTTCCGAACGTCCGACGAAAGATCGCCGGTCCACGTCGCCGGGGGAGAACAAGTCTTGACAACCCAACCTGGCGGAAAAACGAAGATGTCAGGACCCTGTTTGGGGTCAGGGTTTAGGGTTTAGGATTTTAGGGTTCATGTGATCTACTTTTAGGGTGTCTATTTTGTTGTTACACACATGTACTCACAGAGAGTTGCCTGTCTAGTAGACACGATGGAGTCACTCGCAGTTCACCTTCATGACAAGCCTTCTTTCAGGTCTGGGTTGGGAACCGTGTCAAAACGCGCTTGGAAGATTTGGGTGGATTTTGGAGGGTCTAGAGCGGGATGCGGCTGTTTTGACATAGGGTTGTGCTCTGTGCGCAACAAGAAGAAGGTTACCATGCTGGCATTCCTGTTCTTTATGGACACTTCCAAGACAGTTATTCTCCGTTCTGTGGATGCAGTAGGAATAGTGTCTTTGACTGCTTGGCAAGCTGCTGAGAGCACACAGCCCCAAGGAAACTTAACCTGTCCATTGGTCACTTGCAGTTTGCTTTCATGCTAATGGACTCCTCCAAAACATGGGCGGAAGGATGGCTGTTGAGCGCATGATGGGTGTTGTCCTTTGAGGTTTGGAACGCCTACATGGGGCTGCCATTCATTTGTGATTTGCCTGAGTGGAAATGAGCAATCAATCATCAAGAATGTGATGCAAACACGCAGGACCGAATACAAGACCTGTAAGTGAATCAAGAACAGCATGACAGGGGATGCCGATCTCCAAACAATACTGCTGGGTTGGCGACATCAAACAACGACATGGAGCTACTAATGGGTTGATGTCTCTAATCTGCTGCAAGGGGTGTCATAGTGAAGAGAGATGTATTGAGGTTCGTCCAGAAAGCAGTCTTGGCAAAGATGTTTGCCATGTAGATCTTAAGGACAGGCTTCAATGGCCATATCAGATGTGTGACGTGCCACACAGCTCGTCACGCACCCATTTGAGAATGATCATGGGGTGCTTGGGGAGGGCGGCGGGGGAAGATAAACCTATAGATCGAATGACTTCAAATGTCTTTTTTGGAATTACCCGTTTTACCCCTTGGTTCTTCCTGGCGACGTGCCTGGCAAGATGTGAGAATTGAACCAAAAATGGGTGCCGTCCTTGCTCAGAGGAGCTTTCTGTTTGTCCAGGCAACTCGTGGTGAGGCTATGAGTGTTCCCCCAGGATGCCCTGGTCCTGCGCAGCCTATGATCGCCAATGATGCACTCGCTCACACCACCCTGGTCCTCGAGCCAAGCTCGGACCAAACGTGCCGTGCGGCGTCCCAAAAGGAAGCGGTGCAGACGAAAGGACGATGAGACACGACAGACCCGGCCAAAACCGGCCCTTTAAACCGGGCTCAAGAGGAAGCTACAGTCTTCCGATCCATTTTCACGGTCCATGTTCGTTTGCAGAGAGGATCCACGTTCGTTTCCACGAAGAGAGGATGAGAGGTGAAGAAAGAATGTTCCCAACAGACCTGACTTTGGCCTGATCGAGGTTGCACATGTTCATCGGAACATAGACATGTTGTAATAATAGTAATAATTATATATACATGTTTCTCTTTGTGAATACACTTGCACGAATGTTTGACGATCCTTCAAACTCCAGCGATCACATCTAGCAGAACTAGTAGCAGAACTGTTTCCGTCCTGTGCACACTCAGAGCACTGCAGAGCACCTCAGCACCGCATGGCGCTGCTTGTTCCTCCTTGATGGCAGATGGCACGGCATGTGGATCTGGTGAGGGATTCTCGGCCGCGGTTTGCTGGGATTTGGGCGGTTTTTGCCATCGGTTTAAGCTATGTTTTTGTTGGCCGGTCATGGCATGTTCCACAAAGGACATGTGTCTCTTCCCAGCGACTCTAGGTACGTGGATAGTACGCCGCAAAAGAAGGCGTTGGAACGCGCTTTGGGGGTTCCGTGCTTTCTCCGCTGTCCAGTTCAACAGGTGGATCCAACAGGTGAGTCCTTCTATAATCTTCCGTCGGGGGAACAGGTTGGGGTCAGCTATCGTTGTTGTTATATTACTTTGAAACACAATGGTGAGTGTGATGTTCGTTTTTTCTCACACACGCGAGGTCGACATGCCAAGGTTCAATCTACGACGACATGTAAATATACACCACTAGAATACAACCCGTGGTATACACAAAGACATACGAACCTCTTTTCGGGAACCTTGCTGGTAAACACTCCAAAACCCTGACACAGAACGATCAGCGGGTTCATCACCGGCATTTTGGACGTTCAGCCGCTGCAGTCGCCGATGCTCAGGAGAGGTTTGGGGAAGAGGTCCTGCAGTCGCTACTGGCACGTTGGGCTGAGGCTGGGCGTGTTTTGCAAAGGAACTCTCGCAGGAGTTAATTGGTTTCTCGAATTTCTCCTCCCTATTACAAAAGACGGGTCCCCCTGAACAAAAAGGAATATGGGTGCGTGTGTTCTTTGTTCCATAGGGGGTCTCCAAAATGGGCCCTCCAAAATAGACATGTTAGGAGTGCTTTCGGCCATGAGGACTCAGCTAGGGCAAAGGTTTTGGCATTCTGAGTCTATCAAGTGGTGTGTTGAATTGGGCAGCTGAAACGAGAGATAGCCAGGCTGGACAGCCAGGGCCCCAAAAAAATGCGTATTATGTTATGTTTGTAGTGGTTGAATGTCGTTGACTGGTTTAAGAAGGCGGCAATTTAGAACACATTTTAAACGGTATTGAGGGGTCTCCGACATGAGTTTAAAAAGAGGTAGCGTGTCTTTGTAGGTACTTGGGAATACATGTCCATTTTCCCGGCGCAACTGCACCCACACCCTTTTTCTCCTCACCAAACACACCAAGAAAGCACCACGATCAATCCCCCCGTGCAGGCGTGCCCACGCGGCGCAGAGCGGCTGAAGCTGGATTATTTCCTCAAGCTCGGCGAGCCAGCACCCTGCTGCTTTGGCTGTGTGGAGGTCCTCACCGCAGCCCGTCGGTACCAGTCACGGTTCCGGGTGTTTGGTCTCTTTTGGTCTCTGAAACAACTGTACATATCATGGAAGGTATCCCACTAATTATAGGACTTTACACTTTGCGATACGGTGCTTGAGGCATGTCCGAAAACAGTTCGTACGTAGGATTGGTGCATAGCGGGCCAACTATTGATGCGGCAAAGGAGTTCCCTCCAACTCTTTCGTTCGGAGTTCCCTCCAGTCCAGAAGCTGTCCCCGCGCATTTTTGCATATCTTCCGCGACTTGAGAACGTCCACGGCCACGGGCTGAACGGGCTGGTTTTGGTGGGTCACTTCGAATGGTCTTTCACGGTGCGTTCTTCGGGTCGATGAAAAGGAGCGGTCAGCCAAGTAGTGGAAGCCAGGTTTACGAAGAGAATGTGTGACCTCTTTGAGAAGGACGGCAGGTTTACGAAACATGAAGAAGCTGAAAGACTGAGGGCAAAACCGGGAAGGACTTGGAGAGAAAGCAGGGGAAGAGCATGAGCTTTTGTTGAGCGAGCAGGTTTACGACCATGACAGGGTAAGGTAAGGTAGAGAAATATCAATGAACCCCCACAAGTGCGACCCGAAGTTATGGACTTCCTTTCTGCTCCACCGCTTTTCGGGATTCACAAGGAGAGCCGTATATACGACCCGACTCGCCAGGCACTGCCCGGCCGGAGCACCTCGGTTCCGGTGATTCTGCAGGGCCAATCCCAGCGCAGTGGGTATCAACAGGCGCGGAATTGATGTCTAGACCCGCGATCAGCTCGTGTCGAAGAGAAACCTGCCCTGGGCATGGCAAGGCAAAGCATTTGCAGCTCGTGTTGGAGGTTGACCATTTCAGACTCAGTGACGTTTACATCGGTGCATGGTGGTTATTCTTTTGCATCCCAGAGTCAGTGACCAACATTCGGAGCATATCACTGTCTTTCCAGTCGTCATGTCAACTTCCATGATTGTTGGAGGGAGGGAAACAATAACATCATGGGATGGAGGCCATTGCTGTTAGGTTGAAGGCCACCGCTATTAGGATGGAGGCCATCGCTATTATACTTTTGAGACATTCTTCCGCTTCATATCTCTCCATGGCTGTATGCAGAGCACTGGGTTGTGCGAGCGCGGAACTGAAACCTCTGAGACAATTTTGGCCGCCGAATTGAGCCTCCTGGGGCTCCTGAGCAACCAAGCTCGAGCGTTTCGCGCGAGCGTTTCACGCGAGCAGCGTAACTCGCAGACCTTGGGAGATGTTTTTTGGGTATGAAAACACCAGCTGGGCTCAGGTCTTGCCTAGCAGGCCAAGCTTGGAGAAAGGCCAATCCGAGCAGATTGCCCGTGCTGGTACAGTTTCTCGTGCGAAATTTGGTCTCACTTCGCATGGCAACATTTGCACAGGGGATCACAGGGCTGGTCAGGAACTTTGAGTGTGGGGCCCGGGTGCAGTAGCGAATGCTTGCTGTGAGTCTATTTACAACATGAAGAGGTGAACATTCCCAGTTTGTGTAGGAGCTTGCGGGATTGTTTCAAGCTCTAGACAAGTCTACCCCATTGTTTTTGTACATGTTTTTATTCAAAGCGGCCCCGGCACAAAAACGCACTTCGATAGGTTTATTCAAAAGAGAATCCAACGTCAAAGGAATGAAAGAACCGCAGGAATGCTGAGTCGGTCGACTTGAACTTGTTTGAACAAGTGTTTGAAAAGACTGCGCAAACTAGTTATACTGAATACTTTGCAGTCCTGAATTAGCGGCATGCATAGGGGGTTAGGTTCCATAGGGAAGCGAGACAAGTGAATCGCTTCAAGTAGATAGAAAGGAAATAAGGCCTCTTGTTTTGTAGCTAGAAAAGAAAAAGAAGCCTCCTGTTTTTGTAGCTAGGGGGCGAGACGGACGAATCGCCGAAGAGGGTAAAAGAAGGAAGGGAACCGACGCACAAGTCCGCCGACGAACCTCTTCCTTCTGTTACCCATTATAGGGAACAGCAGGTACGTCGGTGGGCGTCCCCACCGATATCAGTGTTCAATGCAAGCCTCTTCGTTGGGCTGGTACTTGCAATGGACAACCAGTCCCCCTGCTTATATCAAAACCCTTAGAAACAGGGTGGGACACACACACCCTATATAAGGGCTTCAGTCAGCTCTTTGGGACAACCTCTCCTCCGGGCAGGGTGGAACATCCACTTGACCCGCGAACAAGGTTGCCACCGCCACGTCGTCCACTGGGCCCACGTCGTTCCGCGCGGAAGCCGCGCCTGCCTGGGGCGGACCAAGTTCAACACGGTCCGCCCCGTCGAGCCGACGTTGCCAGAAGGCCGGAGGTGGCCTAGAGGTGGCCGTCCTTTCTCGGTCGAGCTTCCGGGGCTGGGCCGCCCTTTCAATCAACCTGATATACAGTAATATCTGAATTCATTCAAGCCTCAGGTGTTCTTGAACATGTCTAATTTTTGAGGTGCTAGAGTGAATGTGTGAGTGTGAAAGAAAAGAGGATCCAAGTGGTGCCTGCGATGATTGAAGCGGCCCAAACCTGGTGCCAAGACCCCGCTTCGGTGGCTGAACGCACGCTTTTGATTTGCGCTAAAATCACTGACGTCAGATGGCGCCACTGAACCTTTTAGGTTCTGAACTGAGGGCTAAGCTGCCATGCGGTGGAGTATCAAACTTTGTTTGGTTTCCACCCTTGGAACCGATGCAACAAATTGTTGGTTCAAGGTCATCTCTTCGCTCGTCTCTAGCGAGCTGTGCCGAAAGAAATATGAATTAAACTACTTGCTCCTATAGTAGTTATTTGTTACTAATAGCAATGGCCTCCAACCTAGTAGCGTCCTTGCTCCTAGTTGGCCTCCAACCTAGTAGTTTCTAGTTACTAAGAACCTTCAAAGAGATCCCTTGTGCCCAGACGCTCCAAACAGCCTTTACTCCATCTTAGTCCCTCAAAACCGAAGGGATTGGTTTGGGTCAAGACCCCTCCAAAGGATTCCTGTCCGGCCCCTACTTAGGAGGGTCCGTTTTTGTGTTTGGGTGGAACCACAGCGTGGAAGTTGAAATCACAACTGTTCATTTTCAGTGGTCAACCAAGGTCCCCCGGTTTTGACCCACGGCCCAGTATCCACGGTCTCCTGGAGACGATGTTCAACCGGAATCTGCTGTGGAACACGTTGCTCGTCCATCGCTTTCACTCCTGGAGCACGTTGCTTCTCACTCTTTCCAGCGGTGGCTTTTCCGTCGCACTGCGTGTTGCGTGTTCAACGGGATCTCGCATGGGATTGATGGGATGCATATGGGATGCTAGCTTGAATTTTGGCGCATCCCTTTGGTGTGGGGAATCGCTTGTTAGGAAAAGGTAGGAACGACGTTCCCCCAAACCCATCAAAGCCTAATATGGGACATGTTTGCGAATTGGGGTTTTCTTCAGTCCGTCGGATGAGAACGGTGTAACGTCGCGGCACGGATCCATCCCGTCAGAAGGTCTTAACACCTCCTTTGGGCGACGGACAGATGCTCCCAAAGCAACCTCCGTTCGTTTCGTTTAGCTACAATTCGGAACACTTGGACCGCTGTTGGACCATGTACCTTCGGATCCGCGCAGATCCTGGACATGATGAAGCCTTTCCTGGAGATGATGTGCGGAGCAGGACCGCTTCATTTCTGTTTTCTTTTCTGCCCTCCCGTGGCCATTGGGGTGCATATGTGTGTATTTTATGTTCGACATTGATAGAACCCACGTTTTATGAAGTGCGTAGTTGCTATAGGCATTGTTGCGTGTACAGGCATGTGACAACGTCACGCCTCTTTCTCCAAGACTACCAGAGGATCTCCATTCAAGCTGAGCAGCCAAGTATTGAAAGCGCAACACGGTTGTTTCAAAAGACATTCATCATTGGCTTTAGTGAAAAGGTATGAACACTCATCAGTTCAGATTGATTCAGTGTTCCCCGAAAATGTATCACCATGTCGCCATTGGAAGGGGCTTCACCATCTGCTCCCGGCCGTTGACTTCGACATGAAAACTCGGAATTCATGGCGCTGACCGATTCGTCCGGGCAGTTCTTAAGCACCGCTCTCCGACGTTCCTCTTGACTTGTCAAGCCTCTCGGGTCACCTGGTGACCCCCTGGTGCAATCTCACTGCCGCTTTCTGGTTGCTTCTCATCCAATGATTCGAATCAGAAGTTCTGGGTCACTGGACAAGATTCGGTGCCCCACACCTGAAACACCCGACCCCCGAGTCCCTTTTTCTCTGCAGTCTCACGTCTCCAGTTCTAAGAGGCAACACCAAGCAATGCAGAATGCAGTGAAATGGCAGCTTGTGCTGATCAACTTGATCAGTCTTGCCGCTTGCTGGAGCCCAAAAGCCACTCTGGTCAATGATTCTCATCGCACAAAGAGGCGACTTCGGGGGAGCCAACAACGTCCGTCTTTTGCGTCGTCACGTTTTCGCTGAGTTGAGGGCCGTTTTTGCGGATGGGGCGCTGACTTGAGGGTGCGGAGGGTGGTCGACTGGACAACGCTCAGAATCGACTTGCTTCTCCCTGGCGATCGCATTTGTAGCCTGGTTTCGGTGAGTTCTCTCACTGTGGACGAGAGAACCGTACTGAATCGGGATGGAATCCAATCAAAGGTACTGTAGATGCATGCTTTTGCGGTTTCAACATCTTCCAGCACGTCGATCGGGCCCTTAGTCTCCGTCTTACATCGCGAGTAGAAAAAATGCATCGCCATTAGTAGCAGGAAGCTACTAGTAACAAGGTGCCTTACTATGTCAAAGAACAGTTCCAAGTTCAGAAACGTGACCTTTTGCCATAGTGCTCCCCCTTGTTTTTTTGGTGTTTCGATCCCAGTAGCAGTCTCCAAAACGCCAGCAACACCGATCGGCCTCGGCATCGGCAATGCAGAAGTCAGGAACATCGACCAGCCTCTTGTAGAACAAAACCTTGCCATAACACTTCTTGGAAGCTGACCAAGAATCCCGGAACTTCCAATAACTACCTACCCCACTTATCTGGGAGTCATCGGTCAGAACCCAGATCGGTTTCGGACCGTGCCTTTGTCCGAAGCTGATCCTCGGCATCCTTTCATGGGAAAAAAAACAAGATCATTCACCCTAAGGATTCGCACATCCGAAACCCGTTCCCTAAACCCTAAACCCGGCCTAAACCCATTGGATCATTCAGTGTGACCTAAACTCTAAACCTTCTCTTCGACTCCTGTCAGAGTCACTTCCACTCTGCTGCCAGTTCCGTCGTTGGCGCTCCTCTGGACGACCAGCCGAAGCGGCGGACTTCGTCAGACAACGCGTTCGCATGGTCAATGAATCGGGTTGACATTGGCGGTTTGGTGGACATTGGCTGAACCAAATATCCCAAACTTGAGAGGAAGTGTACAAAAGTAGCGGGCAGCGATCGCATCAGCAACGTTCTTGTCACAGTCACCGTGCAAGTCTGCCCAAATTGCGAACCCTTGGCTGCTTCTTTGCAGTTTTGTGTAGGTCTTCCATGGTGGCTTGGATGGTAGCGTTTCACATCTTGATTTTTATAAGGGGAGCTGTTCTGCTGCGCCCAGTGCAGCCATCGCGGAATGACGTCCTCCTCTCCAAGCAGGTCGGCACGTGACGGAAGGAAGTAAGGAAGGGCCCCTCCAGGTCGGCCGTGGCGAGGCCATGAGGCCACGAGGCCACGGCTCTTTGCGATTCCGTAGAGGAACGGTCTCTTGACCGCCTTTCCCTTGAAAGCATGGCTTCCTTGTCGCGAGTCGAAGAGTCGTCGCCCCGAACTTCGCCCTGACTCAACGGCTTTTTGAAGCGAACTGGGCTGACGTCTCTGGGCTAGTGACTCTGCGTGGTGTGGCCCCCTGCGTGCGTTATTGTTTTTCTGTTTTTTTTTTGGGGGGGGCGTCCTAGGTCGTCCTTGGTTCCTAAAAGTGTCTAGGACAGCGTCTTTGTTAACGATTTTGAGGTTCTCTTTGGCATGACTTCTTGAGCTTGCGTATGCCGATCCGGGCGGCGGCTGATCCGGACCGCTTCAAGGGCCATCCCGATGCACTTTGAGCTTTCCTGCTGCCTTGGGGGAATTGGCATCCTGGTGGCTTCAATCCTGTGTCTGGCATGGGGCTCTTCTGTGCGAAACAAAGTTACATACTGCACGGTGTGTGACATGACCGCTGGTAAAAGCACCCCACAGAGTTCCACTGTGATCTCATATATGGCGCACATCATTGCAAAATCTGTCAGGCTCATGGTTTTAAAGAACGATTTGCAAAGTTTCTGGCGTGAAAAAACATGAAAGTCGACGTGCTTCAGACCCCGTCGCGCCAAGCTGATCGCAAAACAATCATACCCGTCAGTCTACACGCTCTCGTTTATTAGCTTTAAGCGGCTTTAAGTCTTTCTCCTGGGAGTCTGGTGCCGCGTTCACAAAACCTTAATAATACCTAATTATTATGTAATTATGTCAAAACCTTTAATATATGATATTATATTAGGTTCACTTTTGATTCAGTCTTCCCCCTCCACCTTGCAGTTCAGATCGCTTCACCCCGGCTCCGCCCGGCAGGTCGGACGGACGCGGCCTCCGCGCGCCATGCGGAGGATACCGCGGCGCCCGAGAGTTCGGCCTCAAGGGCGGCAGAACCGGGAGATTTGGGAGGTCAACCGACCCTGGAACCTGGCTCCGACCCAGAGCCGCGCTGATCATCGTAGGGAGTTGGCATGAAAGCTTGGTGGTACTCCAAGTTTCGGTGTGCTATAGGTATAATATCAACAAGGGCAGCGAAGCACCACATCATTTCGCGGGTGTGTTTCTTGATCACTTGACCCTTTTTCCGATGCTTTTCCGGCAGAACACCTGTGCCGCACGAAGACCTCGCAGGATCACATGCACGAACACCTTGCGAAGATGGTCTTGTGCCGCTCGACGTGAGGTGGTGTCCGATGTGAGCCTTTCAAAGTTGGCCAAAGTCGTAGGTTGGAGACCATGGCCATCGGCTGGTGGAGGCCATTGCTAGTAGGGTGGAGGGTGGAGGCCATTGGCGACCGTCTAACGGTTGGAGTGGAGCGATTTGTGGACCTGATCATTCACTCTCTGGCCACATGGATTGGATTGCTTGGGGTGGAATGGTTGTTTCTGAAGGGCAAAATGGGCGCCATTGTGATTCCAGCATTGCCTTGAGTGAAGGAACTGCAGTATGTCCATCTTGCCAGAAGTCTTGACTCCCAGCGTCACCGCAGACTTGAAGCAGCACAGAGAAATTGGGTCTTCAGTCTAGGGGATGCTCCCGCCCTCCACGTCCAGTCCCCAAGCCAAGACGGGACTCGCCCAGCACATCCCGTTCGCATCACGTCCGCCGACTACCGGACCACCGACTACCGGACCAAGGTGCTCCCGAGACTTGGTTCGAGGTCATCACTGGAGCGACGCTTCCGTCCGACGCCACGAACGATTTCACGGCCATTGGCGTGGCCTTTGATAGCTCCTCAAGGCTGCGGCGAGCAGGGGTGGAGTACTACCACGACAGGCGAGCAGGAGCACCGGGAGACCGGCTGAGCGATTAGCGAAGGCTTCGCTTGGGGAAGCTTGCTTTTGAGGTGGATGCAAAGGAGCAAATTTTGAAATGGAAGGAAGTTGGGTCTGTCCTATTACCACATGTCAATAAACAAGCAAGTCACTATGTTCGATCAAGCCCTTTACTATCCATCCTCATCTACTGTTACTGGTAGGATAGACCCAAGAAGGAAGTATGGGCGGGATCACATGGGCATCGGCACGCTTGCTGTCACGTGTTGTCACTTTGTTCTTCATTCTACACTTGTTCCTTCCTCTCGTGTTGCAAGAGTTTAGATAGTTCAAATACGTCGGATTTAGTGCGCCAAAAGCCACTGCAGGGACTGCTTCTTAGTCCATCTTCCCGCCTGGAGCCAACTTCGTTTGCACCCGAGCTCGGCCAGAGTGAACATGACCGGACCGCAGGATGGCCGGAGAAAACGACCTCGCCCCGCCCCTCCGCCCTGACCGGGACCGCGGGTCTCCACCCCCCCTCGTGAATCATGTTATAATAGAACAGACACCATTTAGTTTGGAGGTCCAGGTATAGCTAGATGCGACTTGGAGGTCTAATTTGAAGTGGTTAGAGAGGTGGAGATTGAATGTGAACAGCCCCTGATCGATTGATCGTTGATGCATGAACTCCTTGAAGCAGAGGCAGCGCCCTCCTCCCGCCGAACCCTTTCCTTTAACCCGAAGTCGCATCAAAATTGTGGCAGGTTGTGGGAGAAGCATCGCAAGGAGCACCCGAGCGGAGCTTCAACCGCATGTTTGGTGAGCATAGTAGGAATTGAATCCGTTCCGGTGCTTGCCTTGAGTATCTTGAGTCATGTTCAAGCCACAATGTTGCCACAACTCTGCCAAGAACAAGGACAAGTGAACCAGACCACGACGTGGGGCATTCATTGGTCTTTCAGGACCTCCCTTTTGAAAGCAACATCCGACAGGGACGTCCTACACGCGGACTCTCATCACAACGGTGGCGTCGCCCGTCGCCCGGAAAAAAACCCGTCGTCCAGGATGGATGCCTCTACGTGGCCTCACTGGAGACACCGCCCTCGCTGGAGCTGCGGAGTTTGCCCCTGGGGATACCAAAGCTACTAGTAACAAAGGGCATCGCTACGAACGGAGCAAGAAGCTACCAGGTGGAGGCCATCGCTAGCTACGCTTGGAGGCCATTACTAGAAACAAGAAGCTATACTATAGTAAGTACTATAGTATATAGCCCTAGTAGCTCCTGGCATTGCGACTCGTAGCAAGCCGCTTCGTTGCAGCGGGGGATGCGCCACCTTCGATCCAGAAAGGTCGAGGAGGGCTTCTCTTGGTGTTCCAAGAGAGTACTCGAAGAGTGTGGTTGTACAACAACAGTGTGTATTATGTTTTTATGTGTTTTACAGCAACATGTAGGGAACTCCACACAGAGGGAACATGGGAACTCAATTCCACCAGTTTAGACCCTAGACCACCTCAACTCAGCTTGCTTGGCTATCTTGGCTGCAGTTTTAGTTCCTCTTTGCAACTTGTCACTGATTGCCCTTGAGTAGTTGTGAACTGGAACCCATTGCCTTTGGTCCTCAGGAGCTACTGTTCGTCTCACAGCTACAAACACCGCCACAAAAGAAAAGACAGATCACACATCTATTCTGGAAGGAGTTCAAAACCACCCCCCTGGGCGAGGACACGGGAAGCCATGGAAAAAGAGAACAACACCGATCCTGTGCTCCGCTTCCAGGCATGCGCTTCCGGGTGCAGCGTGTCCGTCCGTGCGCATGGTGGCAGTGAGCAGCTCGAGCCGCGGGAGATGGGGAGGAGAGATCAGGATCAGAAGAAAGCCCAATAGCAGTGCCAATGGTGGGTTTGTCATGATGGTTTTCGCTCGGTGTTTCAGTCGCTCGCGCTCGCTTGGTGGTCTGTTTCTTTTTTCGACATATATTCTCCCCGATCAGCGATTTTGCAGGCTTTGCACTGATCCCGTTGTGTGTACTTTGCTGTTCTCAAGTTCTCGTGTGTGTTGATGGAATAAACATTATCTTGTGCATGAGCTTGTGGTGTCCCCCTAAACCCTTTCAAACACCTCGTTTTTGGAGTTCTTCAGTTGTGATATATAGCTGTCAAGTTTGAAGCTGAGCTCTGAAAGCATCATCCCAGTCACGAGCTCTGGCCACGAGGTGACACTCATTTGCTCCACGAGAAGTTCGGATCGCTGCCCGAGGGAGATCTGCTCGTTCATGCAGGTGACCTAAGCTTCGAGGAGTGGTCGAAGACTGGTCGAAGTCGACCGGGTGGAGACGCCATCGATGGGACCACCGGGTGGGACGTGGAGATGACGTGGAGATCCTTAGAGGTTAAACCTCTCCATGCCGCAGGCACAGGCTCACCAGGCATGGCCACACGATGCCGGCAGAACGGAGCTCGGAGCTTTTGACAGGTCCCGCACCCGCACCGTCGAGCCCTCCAAAGTATAAGGCAACAAAAAGTCAAACGCGTCCGACTGGGAAGAACCAACACCCCCCCCCAAACCCCAAGGGCCCCAAGAGCCGAGTTCAGAGAGTGACATATATAGCCCTATGGCGCCCTATAGAAGTCCAAAGACTATACTTTAGAACATGTATATTGTATAGGGCCTATATTTTCCTATACCACCCCAAGTAAAGGAAGTTCCAGGGTATAGGTTGCAAGGCGTCGAGAGTAGATTTGGGATGCATGGAGCTTCACAATGCCAGAGTTATGGAAGAACCATGAAGATAACCTATATATATCCGGGAAATGGTCTTATAGATGCCCCCTCAGTATGCCCCCCTTTCCCCTCTAATCTCTAATATGGTCAACCAGAAGTGGGTGTGCCATCTCGCGACCGGGGTAAGCCATCCTTCGACTTTGAAAGTCGTTCGCGACTTAAAAGAATGCACTCTCAAGAACCGACAGGGATTAGAAGCATCTGTGATCCCATGGTCAAAATGAAACTCTCCCAGGCTCCAGGCCTCCCCTCGGATGGTGGAGGATCTCGGCTTCGTTCGTACCTTTCAGGCCTCGGATGGTGCCTGGGGCAGGAAACCGCTCGCGAGACGGAGACGGAGACGGAGACGGTCGTTGCCCGGACCCGTCGAAACGTCGACCGCAGGAGTCGCGCTCCAAAGATGCCACGGAGTGCGTCGCTGGGCGAGGGAGGTCGAACGTCGGTGCGTTTCCACTGGTGGATTTCGTGGAACGGTGGCAGTCGCGGCAGATCCACTCCAGAACGATCCAGGGTCGGCTTGCTACGCACAGAACACTGCACTGGTGCTTGGGAGGTGCCTGGGATGATGAGATACTCGAGAATATGACTCGTCTCGACCATGTAGCAACCGATACCAACAAACCATGACCTCACATTTCCATACAAGCAGCGCTAACGGCTTTTTGGAGTGGCGAGTGGCTTCACTAAGTGGCTTAGGTTGCCTAAAGAAAGTCCTCTCATCACCTCCTTCTCATCTTTTCCATCGCATGTCTGAGGCAGAGAAGTTGAAGGAGTTCTCTGGTGACTTCAAGGCCTTTCTTCGATGGCCACTCGGACCACCCGAAAAAGGAACACGCCAAGCCGTCCCGTGATGCTAGGCTGCGTGGATTTGGATTCATTGACATCCGAGAAAATTGGGCTCGAAGTTCTTTCAGACCAGAAGCCGAGTCCAAAGATTGTTCAGTCATCCCGACGCTGAGCTTCGATTCTTCCAAATTCCGTGCCACTTCGTGCCTCTTCGCTTCACCAGGCTTCACCCACCTCTAGCCACTTCAGAAAAGCTCCAGCCGCCTCAGGTTTCGAAGCTCTTCCATGGGCTTGACCAGCGCCATGAAATGGCACCTCGTCGCCTTCAGCTTGTCGCGAGCGTTCCACACACTTCGTGGCGTCGACGCGTGGTGTCGACGTTGACGTGTTTTTTTGCGTTGGATTTGGTTCAACTGTGAAGTCGGATGCTAGAATGATCTAGAAATGTGTTTCTTTTGGCCACTTAGTTGCCTTATCCTGTCGACCTGCTGCGGAAATCTTTATCTCCCAGGTTGGGAAGCGTCTCGAAGTTCGAGCATCGAGTGCTGGTGGGCGGAAATCATGATTACATCCTGGAGCAGTTGGGAGACTCGGAAGCCGATGGGAGCCGCTTCGACCGGACCTTCCCGGTTCAGGGGGGGACCCAGATGCGACCGGATCGACTCGGCAACAAAAAAGATTTTTTAAAAATAACAATACACTCATTGATAGACTGGATGTTTACAAGTTGTGGATGACTTTGTTGTGAACATACCGTGACATACAGCTGGGCTGATGACTACTCCGAGCGCTCATCTGAGGACATGCTCGTGCTCAGGAACTCTGTCAGGACTTTGGAGTTGAGCACCTGAGCACGGAGGACCAGGTGTTTGGGAACGTGCACGAGTTTGGCTGCAGAGTGGACTCAAAACATGGGTGGATGGATATCATGTTGCTGGGATGTTCTTAAGCAACCAAGTGGGAATTTGAGGTTTTTTGAGATTGTGGGATGGTTGTTGATAGTTGGTCATGTTTGTTGAATGCTTGTTCTTGAGTATCCGGAACGACAACGAGGCTGCCGCGAGCTTGTAGCTGCGATTCGGAGTGATTGATCATCAGATCCAGGGAACACTTCACCAAGATTTACCAAGCAGCCCAGAGCAATCCCAGAGCCAGGTGTTTGAATTTATTTGATCACAATATCATCAGAGGAATCTTGCTAGAGTTTTTTTGGCCGCACCACTGATGGAAACCACCTTAATAATTCTCACATGTTTTATGGGAACCACAGTAGTCGCATGCTTTTAGCAGGTACTGCACTATTGGGATGGGTGAGTTCTAAGTCTTGTTCAATCAATCACTCTGACTCTAACTGACACTGGCGCGACAAGTTTTCGGAACGAAGGAGTCAGCTGGTGTTTGGTGTCACTGTCACTGTTCTTGCAAATACTGTAATTCCATCTATATATATAGGAACAAAGTGAGATAGAACGTGATAGAACTGAAAAGGCAAGAATCAAGAACTCAGATCGATTTCGTTTTGGGAAGTTCTACAGTGATCACTGCCGTTTCATCTTCGAAACGTCTTGCGTTCAGTGCCGGCAAACAGTGCCCGGCCGTGTTCGAAATGGAGACGCGGAGGTATCTCCACACCGCAGCACCACCCTTGGAGTTGCCTTTCTCCACCGGTGACGTGGCGGAGCGACCGGTGGGTGAGAGAAGACCGGTGGAGGTGGAAGCGCGGTGGTCTTCAGGGGTTCGATTCGTTGTCCACTTCGCATCGCGATGGAATTCCAGGACCATCCTGTTTGGGCCATGAAAAGCAGAATTCCAGGTCAATTCCTGGGAAAAAGGTCCGACTTTCTTCGGTTGCTTCGGACGAAGTCGTGTGACTTCGGTTCTACCCAGCCGCAAGGCGGCACTGAAGGACTTCGCTGGGGTTTCTGAACCGAGGATCCACCGGTAGTTCTCGTCTCTTCAACGGCGCAGTGAATTAGGTCAGAGTGGCGTTGCTCTCAAGAGATGGAAACGTCACAAACTGTTTGGTATGTGCAAGTCCCTTAGGCCCTAGTCACTTTGTCAAGTTAGGACTTTGCCCCTCTCCCCCTCCATGGTCTGTGCAGAATTCTTTGTTCCCCAGATAGCGTGAGCTATTGGGGTTCTCATTTCAAGTACAGGAAGAGCTGCATGTGTGCAGGGTGCCGCTGCTGTGTGCTGGGCGCTGGTGCCGCTGTGTGCTTGGGAGCTTGGGTGCTGGTGCTGTGGCTGTATGCACTTGGGAGTTCAGGTGCTGGCTGCGTGTGCGGAGCCTGGTGCCGCTATAGCATGCTGCCCGCAAAAGCTACTTACTACTTGGGGTCTATGCTGGTGTTTTTCGGGGGATATCCTTGGAGGAAGTTCCAAGATTCAATATTTCGAACTTGTCTGGAAAACAAAATTGCTGACAACAATTGGGGTGAGGGGACAGTGTGAAACAAACGTTACGCATACTCACACAAGTTGTGAGGGGACACTGGCACAGAGTTGTTGATTGAGAAATATACAAGAACGCTCGCTGAGAGTGCTCCTTTCCGCTTTGGTGCTGCAAATAATCATCAACCAGGACCTTCCCAGTGACCTCTAGAGATCCCAGAATGAGATCACTTAGGCCTTGAAAATGTCACTTACCAATCCTGAAGAGGTCGCTGGGAAGGTCCTGGAAGTTGTCAAGTTGTCCCTCATACTTAATCATTGTACATTACTATTACATTCATGAACCATTCTCCGTGAATTCCGTTGATTCCTTGTACACCTGCGGTTTCAAGCATGTTTTGGGGCAAGATCGAGTTCGAAAATTCGACCGAGCTGTGGCAGGTCGGAGTTTGCGGATCTGGGGCTCTGGAATTTCCTTCTATTCCACCTTGGGCGCCGGTCGTCAAGTCTTATCGGGCAACCGAGCGGCTTGGTGCGTGTCTTTAGGGGCAGTTTCTTTTTCGGGTGGACGGAGAAAGGCGGAGCGTCACCAAGATTCAGCAATTTTGGGGAGATAGATCGGATTGAAGGACTGTGATGTACCTGTGTACCTCGAGAGTTTCTGCATGGAGCATTTGTTGTTAATCACATTGGAGGATTGAAATGGAGGATGTTCGACCAATTATTTGTCTGAACTCAGGGTTATTGACAATGGGCATCGGGACTTTATAGTTTGTGCATGTTTGTGCATTACAGCGGGCCAGCAACAAGCAACAAAGTTCAGCAATGTTTGTTTTTTAAATAATCGGATAGCACTTGGTGGACATTTGTTCGCGTTCATTGGATGTTTTGTTGACCATGCCGGTCTCACATGGTGCCGACGTGGCTGCTAGTGACCTCTGTGGATTAAACTTGGTCGAACTTCATGTCGTTCGAGAGTCCTCAGAGACTGAACAACCCTGGAGACAACAACCATGGTTTTAATATGTTTTAATGGTTTTTATACCAAAATAGCCATTAACCATTAACTAAGGATCTTAGACTAGGCCAACCTTTCTTTCAATCGTCTTTGAAATCTATAGGGGATATTCGCTTGCGTCACAATGGTTGACCTGCCTGCTTGTCTTTGTGCGGCAAGCATTTCTTCGGGTTGCAACCATCCTATTTGCATCGAATGAACTTCTTGTTGGGGGGTAATGGGTAAAGATTGGTAGAAGAAAGACATCGAATTGCCTCCAACAATGATGCGGTCATTGTGGACATCAGCAGCGTGGTGTGACATGTCAGCTGTGATACTTCATCAGTGGGAGGAAAAGGACAACGGGTAGCGCCTTCCAACATCTTCCCCCATCCAACAAATCCGAGAAATCCACCCCCATCTAGGCCGAAGCAGCAGAGGGCTCGGCGGGTCGCCGCTGTGTGCTGTGTGCTGCCACCTTTTCTGGAATCCGAGGCCTATCAGATGGACTCAGCCTCGGGTGAAGCGCAATTCCTGGAGGACTAGTCCAGCGAGCTTCCATGGGCTTCCAACATGGCACGAGTAAGGTTTCTGCGCTGTGCTTGATGTTGGCTCACTTGAACACTGAGTTGGTGTGGTGATCGCTCATCCGGTGGTTTGGCCGGGTGAGTATGTGTGATTCACACTTTCCATCAGGACGCCCTCAATGCACCTACTGTCGGGAAACTGCTGCGTCCAAACCTCTTCAACTGCCAAACAGCTCAGTAATACAGATCTCGACTATTATTATGTAAGCCTTCATTTCACCCCTTTCTGCATTACAACGCCCCATCCAATCCTCGATGCCCGCCTGGGAGAACCCCTCGCCTTCATCAGTGGGTGAAACCAGGAGACGTCCCACCTCCAACCCGGCAGCGTGGACGTTCTCATCACCCATTCTCCCCCGGCGGGTGCGCTCTTCGGCAAACGCCACTCGGTGGCGGTGGCCAACCGCACAGCCGGAGCCCTTTCTGCGGTTTGAGCTGTGAAACTGATTGATGTTTCGGAGTGGAAAGACCAGACGCAGGAGGAGTTATAGAGCCGTTTTTGTTCATGGTGTTCTTCACCATGCAGTTGTTTTTTATGTTTCTGGTTGAGAGTCTCACCCCTGGAAAGACCAGCCGCAAACCTATGACCCACAATACGCCAGACTACGGACACCGCAAACCGCTGGTGACCTGGTGAGGTCCACACATGTCAGGCCTGGTGCCATGCTGTGTTTGACACCATGGGGAGGGTATGGTTGGGGTCGATATCCTTCGTTCAGCAGCGGCCATCACGAATGAAACCCCGAATCAAAGACAAAAGAACAGCTTCAGCTTAAGGTCACAAAGGGGTGCTATCCATGGAGGTTAGGGGTGCCTATTATCCACTCACTTGGGGACTAAACACCACCTCGTCTTGTGACTCCTGGAGAATGATACGAATTTGAGAGAGTCCGACGCGATTTCGAGAGAGTCCATCTTCCACCAATGCGGCGCCATCCCGATGGGGAAGCTGAGGCGATCAGCCCCGATGGATCAATGATTTGCTGAAGAGGATCAGACCTCAGGTCTACTTGTGGCTTGATTCAATGTTGATTCATCAGCTGAATCAGAGTCACCAGAATAGATATATGTTTTAATAATCAACTTGTCCACCTGACCTTGTTCAGCTTACAAGGCACAAAAGCTTCGTACAGGTGTTTGTTGCTGCGTGATGCTGCGTCTTTCGTCTTGCCGGTTGACGGTGCATGCTCCATCGTCCTTGTCGATGCCACTGTCCGTGTCAGCGGCCTGGATGCTCGAAGTCCTTTGGAGATCTTCTCCGAGAAGATCCGACAGCTTCGGACAATCGGCGATCCGCGCTCCGCCGCTATAGAGTCTAACACTCTATTGATGTGTTTGTTTTGGAAGCCGGAAGTAGGACACAAGTAAGGACTCTCAGCTTTTCCGTGGCTTCGTTTTAATCGGATTGAATCTGGCATGACGCAGTTGTTTGCCTTCAGCAGACTTCGCGCGACGGAGAATCGCCGAATCGCCGCGTGCGGGCGCCAATGAGGTGTGGTCATGCCCACAATCCGGAGAAGCTGGACATCAACCAGAAAGTAGCAGACGTGGAAGGCTGGCGAGCTGCGCAGCGCTAAACCGGGTGGCGGGTGTGTTGAAAACAGATCGATGTTTCTCGCGGAGTCTTTTGAAGCCCTAACTGTTCGCTCGCTCGCAAATCGTGTGGTTTTGGAGTTGGTTTTTCTTTTTTCTGTGCGGTTTCTGTGTCATTACCCCGAACGCAACATACCGGTCGCGACTGTTTCGCAGGATTCCCTTCGGTCCTACATGGTGCGGTTTCGCCCCGGCCCGGACTGTTTGGGTCCAGAAACGGTTTGAAATCGATGTCCAGCAGAACCTGCCGCAAAAACACCTGCCGCACACCGTGGCGTTCCATTCGGACCGGAAATCGCCCACTGGGCCAGGCTTGACGCCAGGGACCCCATCCGGGCCGAAGTCCGTCGGCATAGATCGATGTCGACCGTCCAAGAAGGTCCAAGTAACGCCCGGGTTTTGGGGGGTTCGCTTTTCTGCCTACAGAGTCAATCGAAAAAATGGTGTTTCAGGGAACCGACTTCGGTTTGATGTGTTCATGGTTCCCATTTTTCACCTGTATCTAGGACCGATATAGGATGAGTTCTCCATGAACCAGCTCACTAGTACCACTCAGTTGCTGGGTGGCATGCTATCAAATGTCTTCCGTGGAAAAAGTCCCAGTCTTTTCTTTGTGCTTTCCCTTTGCCAAGTATCCAAGTCATCTCGTCCCAACACCGAACGGAGCTCCGGACCTGACTCTGTCCCCTCCGCCGAGACAACGAGGCACCTTCGGCGCACAGTTGGCGAACACCTCTGTGTCCTGACTGTTCGCTGTTTAAGCCGCCGAAGGATGAACAACACTCGACATACCGGACGACAGACCATCCTTGGGTTTTGAGGCTGTTTGAAAGAACCAGACATCTCTCTGACGTCATGGTATGTCTTTGGCGTCGATTGTGGACAACATACGGTTTCCTCATGCAACACCTGGCGTCAATCACTGTGGCGTCCTGGACCTACATTGCTATGCTGGACCCTCGTCCTGGCGTCCGAGTGCGCGTTGGTTTTCCTCCAAATCTGAATGAATCCCGTCATCTTCCATGTGAGTTCCGAGTGGGTCCTTCCTGGGTCGGTCCCCGATGGAAAACACGAGTGGAGCGTTTCTGTGTCGGGGAGGTCGACCAGTGGGGAGACACAGTGAGATCAGTCAGACACCATGATAGACCAATATATGAGTCCTAACTTTGAATGAATACAGCTTAAGCAATGTAATTTATAAGAAACTACCAATTTTTGGGGCTTCGAGGCGAGATCGGACATGTCCCAAACCGGTTGGGTGACCGGTTTGCGCGCGAGCAGCCTTGGAACACAACTCTGCGCCTTTGCACAACGGCTGCTGTAGGGTGTACCCGAAAGAGGTTGGTGCGGAGTCTGGGAAGGATCATCTCTTTGAGACTCTTCACTGATTTGAGGCAACATGTTTGGAGTGCCAGTCCCCACGGGGGTCGGAGGCATCGTGTTAGAACCAACGCTGGGTGTTGTGGACCCAGGTTTGGAACAGCTATGTGGGCCTGCCATTCGTCTTCGACCTGCCCAAGTTCCAGTGAGGTTTTCGCGTTCGTTTCGCTTCGCCGAGCTCCGTGGCGACCCCAGTGGAACACTCGAACAGGTCGCTGGTGAAAACGGACTCATAGTTGCCCATTGTAATGGCCTATACCTCTTGGCCCCAAGATTCGAGATCGAATTTGGACCTTCAATTCATGGGTCTTTGTAGGCGTTTGTGGATCCCATTCCCTTCCAAACCGCTTGTCCGACAAACACCGCCCAAAGCGGCGGACAGAGGTTCCAGGCGCCCAAAAGCGGGCCACTGGCCACTGGAACCTCGTCCCGGGTCTCGTTCCTTTGGAGGATAGTGTGGGAAAAGAGCCAGCGTTTAAAACTCTTCAGCTTTTTTTCCCATCACCCAGCATATACTATGAATATATCTGGTCTCACACTCAAATACGGAAGGTCCGGTTCTGAAGGTTCTTGTGGGTTTGGTTTTGAGGGTCTTGTGCCGGGTGCGCCCACAAGCGGTTTTTGCGAGTTGCCTCGCCATTGATGAACATTGCATCGCTTCATCCCTGGGCACCCATTGGAACCTGAGAAATCACCTGTAAAACATGAGAATTGCATGTGACCTAGAGCCACATACCAGGAGTAACATGTCGGGGTGGTGTGCCTCGCGACCGGCCGTGGATTGCGAGCGGCGGCATCCCGGTTCGGAACCCTTCGGAAGCGGCACCGTGACATGGAACTGCTGGTATGGCTACCAATTCCAGTCCCAAGTCAGTTCATCTTTGTGAGAACGTCTATCAAATTGATGGTCGACTAGACCATCTTAGACCTCAGACTCATGAAAAATGAGACTGAATCCTTGTTGAAGTGACATCAACATGTTGTCAACAAGCCTGACTCCATGGTGCATCAAGTGACGTCATGACATGGTGCACCCCAAAACCATCCAACACCCCCTGCCGCGCCGACGGTCACCTTTCCAGCGGCTCGGAGCGAGCGTCACCGCGCCGCGGTGCCGCTCGTGAGCGGTGCACGGCGCTGCCCGCGCCATGGCGACCTGGGGGGCTGCGGAGCAGGTCTTGGCCAAAGCGCGGCTCGGACGGAACGAGGTGCGAAGCGAACGAGTGCGCTTTTGACGTCCCAAGGGTTGGGCGGGTCGGTGAACCGCAGACATGTCTTAGCCACTCCCCGCAGAAAACTAATATATGGACCCTGGAAAGTACTTGTTGTCGGAGAACTGTCTTTTTTGTGGGCGTTCGTGAGCTGAATTGCTGTCAAGTCGAAAACCCCCTTGCAAAACAGTACAGAAAATATCAGAAAATGAAACTCTACGGCTTGTAACTCCAAAGCCAGATCCGATTCTCGGGTCCCACGTCCGACCTCAAGAGGCCGATCCCGACCTGTGAGGGTCGCTGACCTGGGTCGGACCGTGACCTGTTTAGGGTCGCTGACCTGGGGTCGCGAGCTCCCTGTGTCGTTCGGTTTGACCGATTTCAGCTGAGGAATAGCCTATCTGCCGCGGCTTTGCCAAAGGTGAGGTGTGTGCTGTGTTTTTGGTCTGTGTATGACGTATCGACCACTAAAGACACACACAGATAAAAACGAGTTTAAAAAAAAAGAGGAAACGATAAAATAAGTCACACGAGTCACATGTCATGACTGGTGTTTTCCGCCGACGGTTTTCCTTCGGAACTCCTCGCGCACCCTCGGTGGTTCAAACACCGAGCGGAGCGCCGTGGCGCCGCTCAGGGCGCCGGGGGACTGGGAGAGCTGCAAAGCAAGCTGCAGCAGGCGGAAGCACAAGATGCCGCCGAGGCGAGTGGGGCAGGTGGATGGAGGTGAGGGTGCTGGGTGGATGGAGGTGGAGGAATTCTGAGATGTGTGCTGCTTTTGGGAGGTGGATGAGGCTCCCCCAAAAACAGAAAAGATCTCCCCAGATTTCACCGGGAAGAAACCTCGTGGGAAACCTCGAAACAGAGCCAAACAGATCATATTTTCTTGAATCTGTGCACTTTGCCATGTTAACGGCCACAACATCTCAACGTGCCAAGCGCTTGGCGCGCCAGGATCGTGCTGCAGCGTTCATCGCCTTAGCACGGGTCTCTGTGGAGGCGGAGCGAAGTCCACGAGTCGACGAGTCCACCGAAGCGGGCGTGGATCGGTTTGGGAAGAGACCGAGATAAATCGAGGAGGCGGTTGGGTTTGGTGTTTGCTTGGGTCTTTGCTTGTGTATGTATAGCAGTGTGACACGTGACACAGGGATGTTGGAATCACTAAGACTTGTCTTAGCAAGTTCCTATGATTACAGGAACTACAGGGATACTAGGGAGCAATTTCCAACCATATTTGCTTCAAGCCCAAGCCCAACCAACCAACCCCGTCCGCACTATCTCGAGGTGTATATTGCACTTGGTCATGAGTTGTTTGAGCACCGTCCCGAGAACGGACCCGAGTGATTTACAAAGCTTGTCCGAACAGATCTAATTTTCATCAGTGGTGCATCTTCTCTCCGCAAGCCTATAGAAGTCACATATAGCATCCCTAGAGCTCCAAGTACCTCCTGCAGAAGGTATTTGGATCCTGTAACCCCCCCAAACACCACCTCAGAAGGTACTTGGAGCCCTATGGGGCATCATGCCACACTCACTCCCGAAAACCGTCCTCGGCCTGGAAGATGTACATGTCCATCCCGAAAAGCATGGCCTGCAGAGTCCTCAGCAGATGTGTTTCTTGACTCAATGTTTAGACCGTCCCCAAAAGCCCTAAGGCCTATGTCTCGGACAAACCATCCGATCTTTCAATCGGAAGATTTGGAGAAGCTTGACATGCTGCAGACAAGTTGCCGTGTGACCTTTTCACCCGACGCCCTCTTCGATGAAGTTTCGAACCGCCAGGTCGAGGACCTCGCAGATGCGGAGCAGTGGCCCGTTTGAGGGGGTGGATGGGGCGGATTTGATCCAACATCTCCTTGAAAAAGGCGCCTCATTATAAGGCTTGGTGATCCTGAAGGATTGCAGTCAAGCACTTTGGATGTCAATTCGTGATTTGAAATGGATCGTTTCTCGCGATCCTCAGGAGAGCTGCACCGAACCAACTGACTCCGTAAGACGAGTCGACGAGCATCATGGATCATGGATGTCGAGTCTGTCAACATCTCCAGATTTTCCAACGGTCGTGAATCTCACACTTGCCTTGCCTTGCCTCTAGTGGCGAGGCAGGATAGGTGTGTGTCTTCTCGCGTGAGGTACGCCCTCTCAGCTTTGCTGATCTTCAAAGAGTTGGGCCTTTGGCCTCAAGACCACGTCGTTGTCAGACACGAGAGAGAAGAGCGATCTCACATCAGGATGGTGGTGGTGGTGGTGGTTTGTGTGGTGGTTTGTGTGGTGGTTTGTGTGGTGGTTTG